GAGGAATTGTGAACAATACATTCAGGAGATAAGCATTTCATGCCATTTTGACATAAAATTAATTCAAATGTTTCACAAAATGTTTGAAAATTATTTTTAAAGCTATTAAATTCTACAATATTTTTTTTTTTTTAAATTAGAAATAAAATTTAAAAAAAATAAATGTGTGACGTCACACATCGTCTGACCCCCCTCCCCTTGTCACAAACTGTCACACTTTCTTACGTAACGAGCGTGACGTAATCTATGGACGGCCCCTAATACACATCATTTATCTGCTGCTTTTTTATTTACAAAAGGTGAGGTAAAGGTTTAGATAATTTCCAATTAGACAATCTTTTACACAGGATAAGAAGTGAATCAGCGAAACTAGACCTCACCCAGTGATTAAATAATAAAAAGAAAACAAAACAATTTGACTAAAAAAAGACTAGATTGACAAATTATGTGACAAACTTTTGTGTTACAGGGTGGGCCAATAAAAGTGAGAACATCTCGTAGCGTAATATTTTACGAGATGTTCTCACTTTTATTGGCCCACCCTGTATATTGAATCTGCTTATTATGGGCCTGTGAAATATGTTTAATTAAAAAAATAATCCCTGGACATCATCCATCCATGGTGAAGTGAAGTGTCATCCATAGTTACGACTGGCATCAATCTTTCACCATCATCATTTCCTGGAAGGATAATTTATTTATTTATTTAGACATTTTTATATAGCGCTTACCTTAAAGCTCTAAGCTCTTTACAATTATTAAAAACATGTAAACTAACTAAAATAAAAATGATGCATTAGGATAGTAACTACTATACTATAGAAACAATTAAAATGGCTATAAAACGAGGACACTTTGGCACCTTTTGGCCTATATTACAGGATTAACCCGAGATAGAAAATGAGGCAGGTCATAGGCGGACCTAAACAGATGGGTTTTAAGGGACTTTTTAAAAGTGGACGAGGTTTCACAATGACGGATATGGAAGGGGAGCTGGTTCCAGAACGTGGGCCCATGGAAGTAGAAGGAGCGTTCACCGATGGTCTCAGTTTTGGTTCTTGGGATTGAGAGGGTTCTATTGTCAATGGAAGAGCGTAGTTGTCTTGTGGGATGTAAGGAAGCAACAGTTCAGAGAGATAGACAGGAAAGTGAGGATCAGTGAACGAGTTGAAGCATAGTCTGTGACATGTGTACATGTATAATTGCAACGACACAGATGGTACACATGACACTGTTGTGTACCATCAGTGTCATGTGTACCATCAGTGTCATGTGTACCATCAGTGTCATGTGTACCATCAGTATCATGTGTACCATCAGTGTCATGTGTACCATCAGTGTCATGTGTACTATCAGTGTCATGTGTACCATCAGCGTCATGTGAACCATCAGTTAAATGTGTAACACCTGTTCATGTGTACCATCTGAGTCATGTGTACCAACAGTATAATGTGTACCATCAGTGTCATGTGTACCATCAGTGTCATGTGTACCATCTGTGTCATGTGTACCATTTGTGACATGTGTACCATCAGTGTCATGTGTACCATCTGTGTCATGTGTACCATCAGCGTCATGTGTACCATCAGTTAAATGTGTAACACCTGTTCATGTGTACCATCTGAGTCATGTGTACCATCAGTATGTGTGCCATCAGTGTCATGTGTACCGACTATGTCATGTGTACCATCAGATCAAAGTGTACCATCTGTTCATGCGTACCTTCTGTGTCATGCGTCCCAAGTGTGTCATGTGTAACATCTCTATCATGTGTAGAATCGGTGTCATGCGTACCATCGGTGTCTTGTGTAGCAGCAGTGTGATGTATACCATCAGTGTCATGTGTAGCAGGACTGTCATGTGTACCATCTGTGCGATGTGTACCATCAGTGTCTTTTGTACCATCTGTGTCATGTGTACCATCAGTATAATATGTATCATCATTGTCATTTTTACCATCAGTGTCATGTGTACCATCTGTGACATGTGTACCATCTGTGTCATGTGTAGCAGCAGTGTCATGTATACCATCAGTGTTATGTGTAGCAGCACTGTCATGTGTACCATCTGTGCGATGTGTACCATCAGTGTCTTTTGAACCATCTGTGTTATGTGTACCGTCAGTGTCATGTGTACCATCTGTGACATGTGTACCATCTGGGTCATGTGTACCATCTGTGTCATGTGTACCATCAGTGTCATGTGTACCATCTGTGTCATGTGTACCAACTGTTTCATGTGTACCATCTGTGTCATGTGTACCATCAGCGTCATGTGTACCATCAGTTAAATTTGTAACATCTGTTCATGTGTACCATCTGAGTCATGTGTACCATCAGTATGTGTGCCATTAGTGTCATGTGTACCAACTTTTTCATGTGTACCATCAGTTCAATGTGTACCTTCTGTGTCATATGTCCCAAGTGTGTCATGTGTAACATCTGTATCATGTGTAGAATCGGTTTCATGAGTACCATCGGTGTCTTGTGTAGCAGCAGTGTGATGTATACCATCAGTGTCATGTGTAGCAGCACTGTCATGTTACCATCTGTGTCATGTGTACCATCAGTGTCATGTGTACCATCAGTGTCATGTGTACCATCAGTGTCATGTGTACCAACTGTGTCATGGGTACCATCTGTCATGTGTACCATCTGTTCATGTGTACCATCTGTTCATGTGTACCTTCTGTGTCATGTGTACCAAGTGTGTCATGCGTAACATCTGTATCATGTGTAACATCTGTGTCATGTGTACCATTAGTGTCATGTGTAGCTGCAGTGTCATGTGTACAATCAGTGTCATGTGTACCAACAGTATAATGTGTACATCTGTATAATGTGCACATCTGTGTCATGTGTACCATCTGTGTCATGTGTACCATCAGTGTCATGTGTATCATCAGTGTCATGTGTACCATCAATGTCATGTGTGCCTTCAGTATAATATGTACCATTATTGTCATGTGTACCATCAGTTTAATATGTACCATCTGTTCATGTGTACCATCTGAGTCATGTGTACCATCAGTATGTGTGCCATTAGTGTCATGTGTACCAACTTTTTCATGTGTACCATCAGTTCAATGTGTACCTTCTGTGTCATGTGTCCCAAGTGTGTCATGTGTAACATCTGTATCATGTGTAGAATCGGTTTCATGAGTACCATCGGTGTCTTGTGTAGCAGCAGTGTGATGTATACCATCAGTGTCATGTGTAGCAGCACTGTCATGTGTACCATCTGTGCGATGTGTACCATCAGTGTCTTTTGTACCATCTGTGTCATGTGTACCATCAGTATGATATGTACCATCATTGTCATTTTTACCATCAGTGTCATGTGTACCATCTGTGTCATGTGTAGCAGCACTGTCATGTGTACCATCTTTGCGATGTGTACCATCAGTGTCTTTTGTACCATCTATGTTATGTGTACCGTCAGTGTCATGTGTACCTTCAGTGTCATGTGTACCGTCAGTGTCATGTGTACCATCTGTGACATGTGTACCATCTGTGTCATGTGTACCAAATGTGTCATGTGTACCATCAGTGTCATGTGTACCATCAGTGTCATGTGTACCAACTGTTTCATGTGTACCATCAGTGCCATGTGTACCATCTGAGTCATGTGTACCATCAGTGTCATGTGTACCAACTGTTTCATGTGTACCATCAGTGTCATGTGTACCATCAGTGTCATGTTACCATCTGTGTCATGTGTACCATCAGTGTCATGTGTACCATCAGTGTCATGTGTACCATCAGTGTCATGTGTACCATCAGTGTCATGTGTACCATCAGTGTCATGTGTAACAACTGTGTCATGGGTACCATCTGTTCATGTGTACCATCTGTTCATGTGTACCTTCTGTGTCATGTGTACCAAGTGTGTCATGCGTAACATCTGTATCATGTGTAACATCTGTGTCATGTGTACCATTAGTGTCATGTGTAGCTGCAGTGTCATGTGTACAATCAGTGTCATGTGTACCAACAGTATAATGTGTACATCTGTATAATGTGCACATCTGTGTCATGTGTACCATCTGTGTCATGTGTACCATCAGTGTCATGTGTATCATCAGTGTCATGTGTACCATCAATGTCATGTGTGCCTTCAGTATATGTACCATTATTGTCATGTGTACCATCAGTTTAATGTGTACCATCTGTTCATGTGTACAATCTGTCATGTGCACCATCTGTGTGATGTGTACCATCAGTGTGATGTGTACCATCAGTGTCATGTGTACTTTCAGTGTCATGTGTACCATCAGTGTCATGTGTACCATCAATGTCATGTGTACCATCAGTATATGTACCATTATTGTCATGTGTTCCATTATTGTCATGTGTACCATCAGTTTAATGTGTACCATTGTTCATGTGTACCATCTGTTCATGTGTACAATCTGTGTCATGTGTACCATCAGTATAATGTGCACTTTCAGTGTCATGTCTACCATCAGTGTCCTGTGTACCATCTGTTCATGTGTAACATCTGTTTCCTGTGTACCATCAGATTCATGTGTACCATCAGTGTCATGTGTACCATCAATGTCATGTCTACCATTAGTTTCATGTGTACCATCTGTGTCATGTGAACCATCTGTTTCCTGTGTATTATCATATTCATGCGTACCATCAGATTTATGAGTACCATTAGATTCACTTGTACCATCAGATACATGCGTACCATTAGTGTCATGTGTAACATCAGAATCATCTGCAATATACTGTCATGTGTACCATCAAATTCACATGTACCATCAGATTCATGTGTACCATCAGTCGCAAGGGAACCATCAGATTCATGTGTAATATACTGTCATGTGTACCATCAGATTCTTGTGTATCTCAAATTCACATGTACCGTCAGTGTCCCCTATACCAACAGATTCATTGTTTTTTTTAATGGTAAATATTTTTGAGAAATCACAACAAAATAATTACAGGGCTTAAAATTCTGTTTGAATTTTTTATTTTCAAAGAAAGATTTTTTTCCCTGTTAAATGATTAGCAGATCTAAAACAGTCGTGCCAACAATCAATCAATGCCACAAGAAATATATTGATCACATAAACTTCACAAAACATTTGAACATGCTTTTTTAGATTGAGTTACCTAAATGGACACCTAGAAATGTTGGGTATGATGCTCTGTATTGATAGTGCCATGTTCTGTTTGGCTACCTTGCGTCTTTGAAGACAGAGTATAACGTCTGTGTTCTTAAATTTAATTTTCCACTTTTCACAGTATGTACTGAGCCTGATCAAGTCTCTTTTAAGACATCTTTGCACGTCAAGTATGCCACATCACAAGGTCATCTGCCTAGAGTGCCATCTCCACCTGTAGCTCGTCTGGTAGGTCATTAATGAACATAAATAATAGGGTACAACTCAGTGACAAACCATGTGGGAGCAGGACAGTGGTATGGGTAAATGTGTGTTGGAAATTTGAAAAAATATCTGATTTATGTATAACAGAAGAATCAGCTGAAAACATTATTATTAAGAAAAAACAATATTTTTTTCAGATTTTTAAACCAACGCCCATTTAAAACCCAACAAAATAAAATAATTTATCAAATTGCAAGGGTTCTCAATATAATCGAGATGAGGTAAATGAATATATTAAAGTGACATTACATATGGGTACTATCACTCTAAAAGGCTGTAGCACAACTTTCTTCAAAGTGATAACATTAGGTGTACAAATAAACTGCAATTAAGTTAGTTAACAATCAGCAGCTTGATCAATTGCAGTAAGGTACTCATCACTGACATCAAAAAAGGAAAATCTTAGTAATACCATATCAAAGATTGTGTTAAATACTGCAGTTCTGTTGAAAAAAGATTGATCTAAAAACATTGACAAGAAATATATATACCATTCGACTTAAAAGCTCAATTTGAAGACTTCAGAGCTCCATTAGAAGACTTCAGAGTTCCATTAGAAGATTTAAGAGCTCCATTAGAAGATTTAAGAGCTCCATTAGAAGACTTAAGAGGTCCATTAGAAGACTAAAGAGTCCATTAGAAGACTTAAGAGCTCCAATAAAAGACTTAAGCGCACGATTAGAAGACTTAAGAGCTCCATTTGAAAACTTAAGAGCTCTTTTGGAAGACTTAAGAGTTACACTTGAAGACTTAAGTGCTACATTTGAAGATTTAAGTGCTAAATTTGAAGACTTAAGTGCTACATTTGAAGACTTGAGAGCTACATTTGAAGCCTTAACAGATCCGTTAGAAGACTTAAGAGCTCCATTTGAGAATGGCATTATATTGTAAGCTTGGGAAAATGAAAATAAGGTCTTCTAGTTCTAGGACTAGTTACATGAAAAGGACTATTGAACTTAAGTCTGAGTGAATTAAAGTTAACCTAAGTAAATAGGTCTTAGGTTAGATTTTTCCATTCATTATGTGAAATTTAACAAATATTTTCCGGACAAAAATTAAAGGCCAACTTCATAAAAACAAAATTTTTATAATTATTAATTATTCCAGCTAGTGTGTAGGAATGGGGGGTGGGGAAGAGGGGTAAAATTCAATCAATGTTTATTTTTCAAATTTATTCGTCTATTTAAAAAATAATTTTTTAAATTTTAGGTGTAATTTCTAACTAAATCCATCTTTTTATAACTGCCATTTCTTAGCCAATACATTTCATACAGTATTCCAATAAAATATACATCAATTGTATTTAAATAAAACCAAAAACTTCATCAACAATACACCAGGATTACTTATGAATATTTTCTTCAAAGCTCAGGAACTGATTTTAATTTCACAAATATAACAATTAATAAACTGACAAGAAAATATACTGTCTTGTAAAGTGTAAAAACTTCTATCTTATTAGGCCTGCCAAGCTGCATGGCCGTCATAAGAAAGTGTAGGGATGCAGTAAAACTTTAGAAAATTAAATGACAAAATATCGGTAGTGAATAGGAATAGGACAAAGTCTTATGGAGTAGGCTACATCTTTATTTTTGGTTGCTTTTTTCTTCACTTAATAATTTTATAATTAAGTTGCCACTTAGCTTACTCTTACTCTGAGTTTTTGTCGTGTTTGGACTGACTGAAATTTCAGTGGAGAAAAAAAGAAAATAAAACAGACCGAAAAAAAGATAAAAAGCTGTTCCACCACAGCAAAGTAAAATTTTTATATTAAATTAAGTGGAATAAAATAAAAAGGTCCCAATGAGTATGAGCGGGTTAGGGTTTTAAAAATAGATAAATCAGTATTGGTATGGAAAGAGTAAGTATTATTAAGATATTTTTTGTCTCCTAAAGAAAACTATTAGCCAAACCATCTATAACTTTACTTTATTAAATCAAATTAAGTCTGGAACAAACGAGAAACGGTGTTCTATTTAAAGAAGGCACTGCTAAGATCCCTATAAAATTGTTAATTCTAAAACAGACACTTCAAAATGAAAGTGAAAGTAAATCAGGTGAAAAAAGTGGACATGCATTTATTACTTGGCGAATAAATTCAACTTTTCACACCCCTTTCCCCCTGTTGCACCTGCACTTTTTTAGGGGGGGCTCCCCCCTCCCAACCACTTTGTGCTTGCCTACAATGAGCTCTCCCCACTATTTTAATAAAATGTCTAACACTTGTGACAATAATTTGTCCCGCTTGAATCTGTCCATATGGACTGCATCAGACTCAACATGGCTTTTAACTCCTGAAACTTCTTCCTGTGTAGAAGGGGACATAATGCCAGCATCAAATCCCCATAAAGCAACATTACCACCATTTTGAATTTTTAATGTGAACACAGCCAATGTCTTGTTGTTTTCTTCAATGTTCACATAGAAGGCCTTCAGCTGTGTCTGCTCACATTTTCCTTCTTCCTTTGCATTTGTCGATTCTGGCCTCGGCTCATTTTCAAAACATGGACTTTTTACAGTTTCTTTATTGGCCAAATTATCTCTTGGCATGTGACTTTCGGACAGAAGAGCTTTTTCATCCTCAAAAAACTGAAAGCAGACAGGTGTTGTGGGAAAAATGACAGGCTCAACACTGGAGGACACCATAATGAATACATCCTGTCTTGCAGATGACATCACTGTTGAAAACTGTTTAGAATCAACGAGGGGGTGAGGGATATTTTTTGTAGATTCAACCGTCACTTGGACTTGAAGGTGTACATGGCCAACATCTGTAATGGAGTCGGCTGAATCCAATAAGACTTCTTTCAGTGGAACATCTGAAAAAACAAAATTATATTTCTAACCTTTCAAACTTTAACATTTTGATAACCAACTACCAGAAAGCTAGTTCATTTCTGGAATATATTTATGGCCTAGAAAATATGTGATATAAAGAATTAATAGTTCTAATATTTTTTTTTTCAATTGGTTCTTAAATGCATCTAAAACTCTATAAGAAGTTTTCTCAGTTCCAGACATCTTTCATTTCTTATCTAAACTTTGCAATGTAAATCTTCACAGACGAATCTAAAGGCCAAGCAGATCATAATTTTTAGGTAATATATTCATATTATAATTGATCTGGTCAGAGAATGAGACTTATTACATTTGATCTGGTCTGAGAAGGAGACTTAAAAAGTGGTATTAACCCTAACCCTAACTTAAAAAGTGGTATTAACCCTAACATTTACTTAAAAATTGTTATTCTATAAAACACTCAGCCACAAAAAATTTGTAAATTACTAAGTAAAACCCACTCATAAAATGACAAGCACACACAATTTTACCTAAAACTTTGGCCAAGAAGAGTGACCCCATCAAACACACAAATAAACCACACACAAGCACACACACTTTTACCTAAAACCTTGGCCAAGAAGAGTGACCCATCAAACACACCACACATAAGCCCACGCAAATATTTACCTAAAACCTTGGCCAAGAAGAGTGACCCCATTCCATTGGACATCACAGATCCTCCTGACTTTAGAAAGCTGCTAACTTTAGAACTGAGAGAGTCTGGCTCACAGATGTTCTCAGCCAGGACTAAAAGTGAGCATGTCTTCATCCACACATCTTGTAAGGAATAGGTCATGTACATTTAAACATAGTTTGTAGTGCATTATATTGTAGGGAATAGCACATGTACTTTGAACACAAATGTTAAAAAGTGTTGGACTGCAATAAAGCTTTAAAATAGATTAATAAGACACTAACAAATTGTGTCAATATAACAATATTAATAATGCTTTAATAATTATACATTATACACAAGTAAACGTTTCGGCACATGCCTTCATCAGTACAAACAAACAAAACACATTTAAATAAGTATAAATTAAATTTACATAATATAAATATACATATCCTACCTAAAACAGTAAAATAGGAGAAAGCGCTAAAACCAGACAAAAACAAAGTAAAGAGGAGTAGAAAGGAAGTGATTTGAACATAATTGTAAAAAGCAAACAGGAAAAAGACATGGCAGTTAGGTAAAATTGTGGATTTGGTTCATTCCATATGGAGACAACTTACCAAATCTAGTTATTAATTTGTTTTTCTATATAGATTCTATCTGCAGTGTTACTAGTATAGAGTATACCAGTAACTGCTATGTCTGAGATACCATCATGGTTAGGGTTATGGAAATGTTTGGAGACCGGACAGAGAGCGTGTTTATTTATGTTGTAGAGATGTTCTCTGAAACGATCCCCAAGGCGACGACCTGTCTCTCCTATGTATAATTTAACGCAGTTTTTGCAAATGATGGTGTAAATCACATTGCGACTTGTGCAGGTAAAGCCATCTTTTATTCTGAATACTTCCAGAGGGAAAATGATCTTATCAGTTTCAATCATGTATGGACATGAGTTACAACGGCTACGGTTGCAACTTTTTGTGCCTTTATGTGCTTTAATAGCAGGGAGGTGGCTTCCAGCTAGCATGTCCCTAAGGCTCTTGTCCCTCCGGAAAGCGAAAAGAGGAGGTTTTCTGAAAATCTCATTTGTGACAGGGTCTGCCATCAGAATTGAGCGGTTTTTCAGAACCAGAGAGCAAGCTTTTAGGTTGTGGGGATGAAAAGTTAAAATAAATTTAGTAGGAGAGTATTTGATTAAAAATATAACATTTCTTAAGAAATTCGGATGTCATCAGCAACAAAAAAATGTCAGCAAAAAACCAAAATTTTATTTTTTTCTAAAAATGTGATAAACAAACCAAGATATTGTCAACAAAAGTACCAAGTATGAGAAATGATATCTGAACATCTCCCAAGTATGAGAGATGATATCTGATCATCTCTCAAGTATGAGAGAAGATATCTGAACATCTCACAAGTATGAAACATGATGATATTTGAACATCTCACAAGTATGAGAGATGATATCTGAACATCTCCCAAGTATGAGAGTTGATATCTGAACATCTTCCAAGTATGAGAGTTGATATCTGAACATCTCAAAAATATGAGAGATGATATCTGAACATCTCCCAAGTTGCCAAGTATAAGAGGTAAAATTGGAGAGTTAAATCTTAGCATTATTACCTGAACTTGTACGTGCCTGAACTTTCACACACCTGAACTTGCACATACCTGAACTTGTACATTTCTGAACTTGTATGTGCCTGAACTTTCACACACCTGAACTTGCACATACCTGAACTTGTACATTTCTGAGCTTGTACATACCTGAACTTTCACACACCTGAACTTGCACATACCTGAAATTGTACATTTCTGAACTTGTATGTGCCTGAACTTTCACACACCTGAACTTGCACATACCTGAACTTGTACATTTCTGAGCTTGTACATACCTGAACTTTCACACACCTGAACTTGCACATACCTGAAATTGTACATACCTGAATTTGTAATGGATGACTCCGGCACCAAACACACAACAAATTTGGATGTATCCACAATGGATAGCAGCCACTGAGAAAGATTTGCTGCTGATTTGTTACTCTGGATTCCAGTAGACACCACAATGATCTTATTCACAACTTTAGGACGGATGGTGAAGTTCTGTGAGCTGCAGTTACGTGTTTCACCATTGACTTTGTCTGCAACATCAAGCATTTTTGTATTAATGTAGTGACTAATGTTCATTTTAAAGGGATATTTGTGTATGTTACTACAAAAATTATGATTTAGATTGCATTTTCAAATATAATTTCTTTCTGATTAACTTCTTCTTAGTAACAAAACCTGCATCCAACAAATTGAATAGATGAGCACTAATTAAAAAAGGAGTTTAAACAGTGTGTCACTTAATGAGTTTTATTAGTGTTAAAAAACCCAAACCCTAACTTAAACCCTAACTTAAACCCTAACCCAGTTTAGATTGTGTGTCACTTGTTGAATTTTATAGTGTAATACCCCTAACCATAACCCAGTTTAAACAGTGTGTCATTTACTGAGTTTTATAAGTGTTAAAAAAAAGAAGCACATTGAATACAAATATTTCAGCTGCAAAATAATGTATGCTCAAAATGTATGTCAACAACGTAAAAAGATTGAAAATTACTGGTTTGGAGAAAAGATTGATTTTTAGAATTGTTTTTTTTTTAGGATTATAAACACAATAACTATATTGAATTACCTATGAATAATAAAGTTAATTCATATTTATTGAGACATTTTAATTCTGATTTCTGTAATGTTTTGCTATGTCTTAGTTTCTTTAATACGGGAGCTGGACATATATCAGGCCTGACAACATACGGCTGCCTTAAATTTTGAGTTGTGGGGGCCTGACATATATGATTCACAATGAAATTTGCACACAGCTAAACAAACCAATTAATTTAACATCCCAGTTTTCACAAATCTTAAGGAATTCGCCATCTATAATATTCCCTTCAATCAGGCACGAGACAGATATATTGTCATGTCTTTGAAAGAGGTTAGCTCTCCTGAACTCAGCCAAGAGATCATCCCTTGGACGAGACAATGTGGCTTCAAGTGTTGAACAAACATCGGCAAAGAATTCTTCCCTGGAAAAAACAATTTTTTAAATTTTAAAACCGGAACCCTCCTGAGAAAAGTAACATTTAAATCAATATTTTCAATTTTTCACATTTTTGAGTTCTAGGCTCGATTTTTCCAATATTTGAGTTAGAGGTTCGATTTTTCCAATATTTGAGTTCTAGGCTCGATTTTTCCAATATTTGAGTTAGAGGTTTGATTTTCCCAACATTTGAGTTCTAGGTTTGATTTTTCCCAATATTTGAGTTCTAGGTTTGATTTTTCCCAATATTCGAGGTCTAGGTTTGATTTTTCCCAATATTTGAGTTCTTGGTTTGATTTTTCCAATATTAGAGTTCTAGGTTTATCAGCTGCAATAAAGATATATGAAACTTATAAAAGCTATTGGGATGACATTATAATTTATTAGTAAAAAGACATACAGATTGCATGTCATACTAGCTACTAGCTGAAGCCAGTTTAGTTGGCCAGTACATTAAAAGTAGGACACCATCCTTCACTATATCAAAATAATTGCTTTGGATTGTAAAAGGTTAATATGCCAAGACTACCTTTTGACAGACATTCCTCTCTCACATGGCAGACTTGTAATACAATAAGATTATCTATTGACAGACACTCCTCTCTCACATAGCAGACATACTTGTAATATACTAAGATTACCTATTGACAGACACTCCTTCTCTCTCACATAGCAGACTTGTAGCAATGCTGTGCAACTCTGGGTTGCGTCTTACATCAGCATTTACATTGATACCCATTCCAAGAATAAGGAGACAGTTCAGAGATCCTTATAGAATAGGTATGCAAACAAACGTAATTACTTTCTTCAATGACTGTCAAATTTAAGCTCTCAACGCATTGTGACGGCATTTCATAACTCTCTTTTTTAAATTAGTCAAGTACGTTAAATTAAATTATATTAAATATCTACTATTAAATCAAATGTAGCAGATCAAAAAATAATTTTTATTTGAAAATATTGACATAATCCTTAAGATACCCTGACCAGATTTTTCTGGCGGTACCCTGGTCAGGGTTTCCTTCAGCTATAAAAAATATGTCCAAAACTAAATCAACAGGAACTGCCCCCACCCCCCCCCCCACACCCCGGAAAAATCTAATGTGCCCCCCCAAAAATCTGAAGTGCCCCCCCCAGGAAAATTTCTGAAAGAAACACTGACCTCTGGGAAACCCCTGCTCCCCCAAGCCAGGCCAATTTGTGACAATCAACTAAAATAGATGCTTTCCTGGAGGCAAAGAACTTCATTAGTGTATATTAGTGTATACTGTAGGTTATGGACGTATTGCAACGTTACATTGTGTTAATAAGAAATCGCAGGTGAAATATTTGTGAAAAATAAAGTGAAAAAGTACCAGAATTGTTTTGTGAGGAATGTTTTAATATTTTCTGAGTCTGAAATTGACACATGTCCCTTTCAATATTCAGCTTGTCAGAGAGTAACTAACTACTAACAATTGGGTCAGAGAGTAAGTAACTAACTACTAACAATTGGGTCAGAGAGTATTTAACTACTAACAATTGGGTCAGAGAGTTTTTAACTACTAACAATTCGGTCAGAGAGTAACTAACTACTAACAATTATGTCAGAGAGTAACTAACTACTAATAATTGACACGTTGTTAAAAAATAAAAATTGGCACAACCGATCTATGTCAAAAATATAAAGCATTAACAAGGGAATTGTAATTATAATTTCATAATCATCACATTAATATTTTTGAGATGCGGAGATAGCTTTCATTACAGTGGATAGCTCTCAGAACTGTGGATAGCTCTCAGGACAGTGGATAGCTCTCCGGACAGTGGACAGCTCTCAGGACAGTGGATAGCTCTCGTGGCAGTGGATAATGGATAGCTCTCAGGACAGTGGACAGCTCTCAGGACAGTGGACAGCTCTCGGGGCAGTGGAAAGCTCTCAGGGCAGTGGACAGCTCTCTGAACTGTAGACAGCTCTCTAGACAGTGGTTAGCTCCTAGGGCAGTGGTTGGCTCTCAGGACAGTGGACACCTCTCTGGACAGTGGATAGCTCTCTGGGCAGTGGGCAGCTCTCGGGGCAGTGGACAGCTCTCGGGGCAGTGGACAGCTCTCGGGGCAGTGGACAGCTCTCGGGGCAGTGGACAGCTCTCGGCGCAGTGGACAGCTCTCGGGGCAGTGGACAGCTCTCGGGGCAGTGGACAGCTCTCGGGGCAGTGGACAGCTCTCGGGGCAGTGGACAGCTCTCGGGGCAGTGGACAGCTATTGGGGCAGTGGACAGCTCTCGGGGCAGTGGACAGCTCTCGGGGCAGTGGACAGCTCTCGGGGCAGTGGAAAAAGCTCCCGGGGCAGTGGAGAGCTCCTGGGACAGTGGATAGCTCTCTTGACAGTGGATATGTTTCAATGTAATGACTTTAACAACCAGCTTGTGTTTCACTGTATTGATTTTTATTTGCCCTTAATCTGGTGTTCACATGTTGTTAATCAGAGAAACATTTGTCCCTCTCTAGGGAAAAGTACATAGTTCATAGAAAACGCTAGGCCAGGACATTTCCTGACATTTTAGGGACGACAAGATGAGTGATGCAAAAACTGTGACTGTCCCACGTAAACTGGCATGTCTGGTTACCATACTTAAGTTCATATCAGGAGATTTACTTAAATCAGATTAAGGTAAGTCAAAACATTAAAAATGACACTTTTACTTCTCACCAGGTACTTCAAATCGTCCATCCTCCACCAAAAATCCAGCCAGTTTGTGTCCCTTTACCCAAATATCATTAGGCCATTTTGGAATGGCATGAGTTACACCCAGTTTGTGGGCTACTTGCAACACTGCAAGACATGCTGCTACTTCAAGATCAAATCTGCCCTCATATGTCTGAAATTTTAAAGTTAATTTTGCAGCATAAGAAAATCAAATAAAACATTTTAGTAGTAACCCTAACCCTAAGCACTGCAAAATGAACATTCCCCTAAAAAAAAAACATTTTTTAAAATTTGGTATAAATCAGCTTTATTATGTTTTACCTGAAAAACCTAATGAGAAGATATAAATATTTGTACATTCAGCATGGTTAACTCTTCAGTTATCTGTATCTTATGAATATTTGTACATTCAGCATGGTTAACTCTTCAGTTATCTGTATCTTATGAATATTTGTACATTCAGCACGGTTAACTCTTCAGTTATCTGTATTTTAAAAATAAAATTTGTACAAAGTTTTTTTATTTATGTAAAAAATATGTCTCAGGTCAACAAGACACTGCAACTCTGATATCTTTCTAGAGGAATCACTACTGACCAACATAATTAAGTTCATTGCACATATGTAACAAATTGAATGGATAAAGTTTGATCATATCTAACTAAATAAGTGAATGTTATCTACATACTTTGAATGCTGGGGGCAAATGCAGGATAAAAGAGACATAAATGTTCCCTGTGTTGGAGGCATCCCACTTATGATCTTTAGCACCACGTGCCTTTGTCTGTCTCTCTGACATTACTGCTGTTCCGTGAGGATTTTCATGAACTGAAGGAAGGTGTGGAACATTTATTTAGTATTACTGTTACGTTACACTACTAGAAGTGGATTTTAACATTTTTTTTTTCAACTTCCTAAAATGACCCAAAAATGCATTTTTTCTCTAATTCTGACTACATGTTACTAATCACAAGAATTTGGTTCCATTGATTAGCTCAAAATATATATTGAATATATCTAGTAGGGTAAAGCTCTGAAAGTAAGTCAGCATAATCGTACCAACTTCCATTTCTGTCAGCAAGACAAATAATCAAAAAAGAGAAGATTCCAGATATCAATACTATTCCTTCAAAGAGATCTTAAAAAGATTCTGTTATTAGGAAAAGAATTAAGAGGTATAAAGATGAAGCAGGTGACAGCCTGGAAATGACAGCTGATGATCATAAAATTGGTTTGGAAGACCCCATTCTATTATTATCACATTTAAAATTAACTAAAATTTATATAAACTGGATATCGAGGAAAACATGTATGTAGACCTTTCAAAAGGGTCCTCAAAAAGACCACACCCTTAACAATGATGCAAAATATGCAGAAGAGACATGTGAAAAGCAATGCACTGCCCTGGATGAACCATGACGAACTAAGTCACTATGGTTTAATCACATGAAAATATTGACTGACTTAATCACTAAGGTTTAATCACATGAAAATATTGACTGACTTAATCACTAACATTGAATTCCATGAAATAATTTAGTTTGTACAAGTGTTACATTAGCCCCAGACATTATCAATGCCAGCCATCCAAATGAAGTTTGTAGCATTGCCAGATGCACATTTACTTGTGTGATTATAGTGAGTACTTTAATTATTCTTTTCAGTGTTTCCGATTTACCCAAAGCATAACTTCAAAAAGGGGAATAACTTGTAGCTTTAACTACAATATACTAGTAATATAAAAGGTCTCAAACAGTATTAGTTTCTAGCACACATTATTTATGACGCAGTATTTCTAAAATCTTAAATAATTTTAGGGAAAAATAGTCCAGTTTTTTTATTATAGATTCATAAAGTAATTTATTTTTAAAAGAAAACGAAAGAAAAAACAAGAAATTGACCTATAGAAGGAGCTGCTTTTATTTTTTATTTACACATTATTTTATTAACTGGTATCTGAATATTAAAGATCCTTAGAGAATTTGTTTGAAGTTAACATATTACTGTTGTGAGCCAAACGTCGAGCATCATCCATGGTTGAGCCAGTGACCTCCTCATAAATAAGTTTCTTTCCAATCTTAGATGCAGTTAGAAAACCTTGAAAAGTTTCAATATTGAATGTTGCCATTGTCCTGTGAAGAAGATGAGGATTCCCTACAGAACTGAAAAGAAAAGATCTATAAACATTTGGCAAAGCATCATGCACATTTTTAAAACTTAAATTATCAGATCGGACATTGGTATGACCATTAATTCCATGAGGACATGCATAGTGTGTTCAATGGACCAACATCCGATACCTTTCCAAACACCAGCAACAACTTATTCTCCTTTCTTCTCAATACCGGTATGCCTTAAAGGACTGAAACTCAGCAGTGTACATTCAAACCAGATCTGATGCAAGTTGTAGGAATGCCAGTCTCAATGCAGATCTGATGCAAGTTGTTGGACTGCCAGTCTCCATGCAGATCTGGTAAAAGTTCTTGGAATGCCAGTCTCAATGCAGATCTCATGCAGGTTATTGGACTGCCAGTCTCAGGCAGACCTGATGCAAGTTGTTGGACTGCCAGTCTCAATGCAGATCTGGTAAAAGTTGTTGGAATGCCAGTCTCCATGCAGATCTGGTAAAAGTTGTAGGAATGCCAGTCTCAATGCAGATCTGATGCAAGTTGTTGGAATGCCAGTAACAATGCAGATCTGGTAAAAGTTGTTGGACTGCCAGTCACAATGCAGATATGGGAAAAGTTGTTGGACTGCCAGTCACAATGCAGATATGATGCAAGTTGTTGGACTGCCAGTCACAATGCAGATCTGGTAAAAGTTGTTGGACTGCCAGTCACAATGCAGATCTGATGCAAGTTGTTGGACTGCCAGTCACAATGCAGATCTGATGCAAGTTGTTGGACTGCCAGTCTCCATGCAGATCTGGTAAAAGTTCTTGGAATGCCAGTCTCAATGCAGATCTCATGCAGGTTATTGGACTGCCAGTCTCATGCAGACCTGATGCAAGTTGTTGGACTGCCAGTCTCTATGCAATGACTAATATGAAAAGGTTCCAATTTACCAATGAAAAATGGACCAACGGCTTGGACTTATAATCACCTCAAAGAAGACAAACATCATGGCGCAAGTATAAAATACACCTACATTGCTCATTGGTAGGATAAAACCTGGTAGAAGTTTGGAAATTTTTTAACACTGAAGTAAACATCTCTAACTCATTTTTCATTTTTTTAAAGAGGAGGAATCGCTGTGTTGCCCAAGCTTGAACAAACTGCACATCTACCAGGGTAATAAGGGGAGAGACTGCAATCAGGTTAGCACAATATAAAATGAGTAAAACAAAGAAGGGGAAAACCCTGAAAAATGGACAGTGATAATAAGTTAGGTCCTTGCTCTCAATTACTTCGTCTTCGTTGACTTTGTCGGTCGGAGGAGGACTTTTGGGAAAAAGCACTCTAGATGATAGACTATTTCCAATGTAGGTCTTACCCGGAGACAGTACCCTTCAAAGGGTTCAGAATGGTACCCGTGCTGATGCCTTCAGGCCGCGTCTGAGCGACAATGTCGGCAGGACAAAACTTATTATCCCTTATCACCCTCACAATCTTATAGCTAAACGTGTTTTCCTTAAAACCTGTTCAATACTACTTGCAGACACAGATACACAAGAAATTTTCTCTTCCCCATCTCTCATTGTTTTCAGGCGGGATAAAAACTGAGAGACCTCCTTGTGCGCAGTTGCATCAACGCTGCCCCCTCCCACTTTGGGACCAAGCCATGTGGACGCAGCCATTGCAACACTTGCCCTTTTTTCGTCCAGATTCGACACATACGTTTCCCTAAGAGCAGTTTTCAGATACGCGGCGGTTTCCTTCGTACAAGCTGCAATGTTGTCTATGCCATTGTCTGCACCCGCTGCCATATGGCGTACATAGGGGAGACTGGACGTCGACTCTCTGACAGGTGTACCGAAGACCTCCGTAACATGTAACATTACACAAGATAAACAGTGCCCTGTCTCCAAACACTTCAATAGTAGTGACCACCAGGGCAAGACGGACTTTTCAATATGTACGATCGTGGCTAGCACAAACACACCCAGCCGGGTGAATTTGAAACACAAGCTTATCCTGACTTATTGCACATTGACATCACATGGTATGAACATTTTTTTAAAAATTTTGTTTATATGGGGTGACCATTTTAGATTATTCGAGAAGAGAATTCCAAGGTATGGATTGTTTGATACTTGTTGGAGAATGCTCTTGTTTAGAGAGTACATATAGGTTGATATTTTTTTTCTTGAGATGCTCATTGTGTAGCATTTGGTTTAGTTAAATGTCATGCCCCATTTTCCGTCCATTTCATAAGGCACTTCAAATCTGTTTGGAGGTGGTTGTGGTCGTCGTAGCCATTTATCTCTCTGCTTTTTCTGTTGTTTTGTTTACTGATGAAGGCTTCCTGCCGACATGTTCGTTGTTTTGTTGCGTTCCTTTTTTAAGGTTTTACTCATTTTATATTGCACATCTACCAGGCATGCTTGTTCAGTACATTCTTCCAGAGTAGTGAAGCATGGTCGATGCATGCACATCTACCAGGCATGCTTATTCAGTACATTCTACCAGCTGCCATATTTGTGCTACCGGTACAAGGATTTTTGCATGTTAAATATCTTATAGGCTATAAATTAGTATAAAAATGCATTTTTATGCTTTGATACTACTTAACTATACTATGTTATGTTAAATATAAACCTCAGAAGTACCAAACCAGGGCTATTGCACATTTTTCACACATTTAATTATGTTACTGATAGAGCCTAATCCAGATGTACTGTTTCCACTCAATATTTTTTCTACTCAACTCTAGGACTCCTCACTAAAACTAAAAGACATTATTCACTCTCATCCAAAAATTCAAGAATAGCCTGAAGTGTCTGTAATGGAAGTCCTGTAGACTTGTAGCTTTCTAATACTTTTACTAATTGATACATTACTTAGTACCTTTACAGGGAAAATAGTTATGGCATTTTGAGCATTGAGAACAGGCGCTATGTTTTTAATGAAATTTACATAACCTCTGTTCGTCAAATCCTGCGCATTAATACATAAGTCAAAATATTAATATGGAAATGGCTTGTTATAAAAGCCCAATATCTAATTAAACTGTGCTGAAAATTTGAAAGCTTTATCTTCACAGGTAAAAAAGTTATGGCATTTTGAGTATTGAGAGCAGGGGCTACGTTTTAAATGAAATTTACGTACCCTCTGTTCATCAAATCACACACATTAATGTCATATTAATATGTTTATTGTAGTATTTGCATAACAATGATTTATTATTAAAGCCAAAAACTTAATTGAAATGCGTTGCAAATTTCAAAGCTTTAACTTTGATGAATAAAGTTATCGCATTTTGAGTGTCAAGGATGTCTTTTTTTCGGTCACAGAATTTTGGAAAATATTTACTAAGGCTATATAAGGAAAAATTCTGACACTAAAAATGCCATAACTTTTGTTCTAATTAAGATATGAAGATAAACTAGGTATCAATGGAAAGGAAATACTGAGTCCTTTCTAATGATATAAGTTTCATTAATATATAACAACTTTGAAATTTTAAGTGAAGTAATAGTACTACTACTCAATCCTGTACTAGTATTAGACTCTGGTATATAATTAAAAGATTGAGTTGCACAACAGAAGTAGTATAGACTAATACTATTACTATTAGAACCTTATTAATTAGAGCCACAATATGGCATGAAAACTTTTTTTTAAAATTAAGGAAATAGAGCCCTTTCTAATATTTAAGTTACTGGTATCAGATATTTAGGTATATTATATTTATATACTGTTATTAATATATCATATGTATATTTTATGCGCATCATTTTCATTAATAAATTAATATTAATATACACCAACAATGACTTTGAATTGAAATTTTGATTAAGTACCTACGCCTAAAATCGGGCTTGTAGAAGTCAAAGAAGTTATAAGTTAGTTAGAGTAGATTAGATGAGTAGAAGTAGACATCACAATCAGATGTAAATATGATTTTTAACGTACGGTAAATAAATTTACTACACGTTACAATACATGAACAATTTTAGTATTGTGATAGACCCTTAATATTTTCTACATGGATCGGATAAGGATTAAAGTAGTCGCGCAAAAAGTAAACAAGTTGTAGTAATTATAAATTAAGTAGGTTAAATAGTTCGCATTTTAATTGTTTAGAGTATATAGTAAGAATGAAAGAAAAGTCAGAAACATTTTTTTTCCGTGACGTTTTGAACCTTATACAAATCAGCTGGTGTACCTAGCGAAACCATCGGCTTTGGCCTGCGTAAACCGCGGCGGTGTACCTAGTGAAATCGTGGGCTTTGGCCTGGGTACACCGCTGCAAAAAATGTACCATTGGCCTGGTTTTGAGATATACTTGTTGGAGAAGATCTTGTGTGGTCAAGTGGTAGAGTGGACGCTTGGCGTAATATAGTTTGAGATCAATTCTCAGTAGGGGATCGAGTTTTTTTCCTCCCATTTTAGTTTTAAAATATTTTGTAGCAATTGAAACAATTTAAATATATGTTTAAATATTATATTAAATACACTTTATATATTTATTTATATATATAAGTGTTTCAACAAGTTGTGCCGGCCTTTGACTTTGAAAATACCGGTAACTTTAGTAATAAGACTTTAGACATTTGAAAACAAACTTAAAGTTTCTGAAAGCGCATGTAATACATGATGATCATGTATAACAGAAACATTATGAATACTAAGTGACTGATATTCTATTGTATTTCAACATTCTTCGTATAGTTGAATATTTACATTTTACTTTTACGAACAACCAAAGAAAATACCAGTATGAATAATATTCATGCATATGAATATTAATGTGCATGGTCGTATTTCAACCTTGAACCATCTTGCTTTCACTATGCCTTATGCATTGGCAAAATGTACATACGATATCAAAGGTTCATTCACAACACTCAGTCTCACAGCAAATCTTTTGAAAACACCTCGATTTTAGAAACTTGCGGAGCGGTAGCAAACTGTATAGCAAAGCCATAGGTCTGCGTTTACCCTTTTCATGACGTAATTTGTTTCCAGAATGGCATGGCATGTGCTATTCTCAGGGTAAAACACGACGTTTTCTCACAGAAACCATTGCACAATGCGCCTGGGACAGGATTTGCACTATGTCAAAGTTTTTGTATTTGTTGTTGTTTTTTTTTTTAAAGAAATCGATCCTTGCCGGGGAGTGGGGGGTGGTGGTGAGTTATGGGCAGAGGCTTAACCAAAAAGAGGGCATTCACAAATCACGGCTCAGGATAGGGGTTGTCCACAAAGGACGTCCGCACAACCAACTTACCTTTTGCATCCCCCCTCCCTCTGCCTGCATTTTTTTTACTAATGTGTAATGCCAATGTAAAACTAAATCAATGATTTTTAATTATTGTTAAAAGACTTTCAAATCACTGCAGTGTTTCGTATTGATCATCTTACTGCTGTTTTGTGTTGACACATGCTTGGTGTCACAATGACAATGCCTCGGGCTACTTTAACTTCACAACTTCATGATCAATGTATGAGTATGTGATTCTCTTCCCGTAGTGTATTTGTGGCGTAATTATATCATGGTGCTAACAAAATAGATACACTGTCTTTCCATTCATTTTTACACCATGCCCCGAGGGATCACATACAATGTTATATTTATAAAGCACCCCCCCCCAAAAAAAAAAACAAACCCAAAACAAAACAACTAACAACTGGGTTGGGGGGGGGGCATGAGAGAATAATTTCAAATTAAGATTCACAATCATATGATAAAACTTACAATCAATAAATATATTTGTATTTCAAGATATTGGGGGAGGGGGGAATAAAGTGGTTAACTTTAAAAATAAATCATGGTTTAACATTACACCCCCCCCAGCCCCTTCCCTTCCAAAAATAATAAGAAATGCTTTACATGCACTTTGCCACATACGCGTGGACCTTACTCAATATCTTCCCAAGGTAATAAACGAATTTTTAATAGTTTTCAGTTTTAACACGAGTATAACATTAAATCTACAAGTACCGGTTAGGCCAAAAAGTTAAAGACTCGCAAAGACCATAGTTTGGCTACTGTAAATCGCTGCGGTGTACGCAGGCCACAGACCATGATTTAGCTAGGTACACCGCCGCGGTGTACGCAGGCCAAAGTCAATAGTTTCGCTAGGTACACCGCCGCGGTGTACGTAGTGCCGGCCTTTTATTTTAAGAGTGCTCTCTCTTTCCGAAGTGACTCTATTAACACAAGAAATATGGCTTACTTAGTCTCCAGACAAGTCTTTGCATCTAGATTATACCCATCAATGCTTACTATCCATTTCCCTTGAACCTCAATCTATCTATGATGCTCTAACAAAATTATTATTTTGTATCCACTGAAACATATTCAAACTATTAATTATAGCAAAGTAATCAATATATATTATATTATAATGCTTACTGACTTAAAGACTGAATTAGTTACAGTTACAGTAAACATATTTAGCCTAAAGCAGTAAGTCAGTAAGGCTATTTTTATGTAGGCCCAATTTTTTAATTTTTTTATAAATAAGCCCATGAATAGAGATTTTAAAATATAATGTACCCCGAATAAGTTGCAATAGCTCCTTAGAGGTGTAAGCGAGTATTTGTCATGTAGACTGAGAATATTTTTGCTCAAAATCAGAACGTTGCAACTTTACCGTGAATGGAGTCGTAGCCTTGTATAAAATTGTGCATTTCCCGCAATTTCAAAAGCGGAAAGAGAGTCCAATGAATGGTAACAAAAATAAATATCCGACTGACTAGAAGTACGTAAATAAACGGACAAAATAGGTACATAACAGCAGACATTACTTATAACTTATGTAGTATTTAATCGTAAAGTTTTATTTTGAGAACACTAACACATCATTTAGTCGTAGGACGTATCACGTCGGTTCCTACTACCGGCGGTACTTGATTCATCCATACATTTACATTCGTACATTTTTTTTATTACATACATTCATACATGGTAACAATAGTAACATGTAATATGTTCATGTATTCTACATGAACAGTTGAACTGATCCTTGGGGTGTCTATACTATACTTAGTTACTCTGATACTTTAGGGTAACCAAATCATGAATTGGGAAAAAAACGGGACACACCCAAGAAAGGTTTGGGGGGAGGGGGGGGGGGAGATACCTTTCAGCTAAAGAGAGGTTCGGGGATAGGGGTGCAATATCTAGCTGGGACCTTGTTGGTACACTTAGAGTCAGTAACTTAGAGATTGGGGTGTTGAAATGAATTTAAAAAAAGTATTTAATATAATTACTTATAAGTTATAAGTCCCATAATAGCCGTAGCCTAGAAATCTTTTTAAATTTACCTTCACTTTTGTAATTTAATTTAAACTCTGAAGCATATCATTAAAAAAAAACAATAATTTTGCTGTGAATACCTATTTATTTGTACATATATTACTTGAAGTTATATAATAAATTAGGACATTTAGTGATTTGAAAATGTTTGGTTTTTTGAAACGGGACATTTACTAGATTTAGGCGTCCCGGGAGACTTTTTGGGGACGCCGGGTACGATTGTGAAAAAATGGGACAATTCTGTTTTTACGGGAAGTTTGATCACCCTTCTATACTTAGTATACTAAGACAGACTAGTAATTCTATGTACTAGCACAGGAATCCTGTTGCCATGGGTTACAGCAGGACTTGAGCTCTGCACATAGTTTATAGTATTGACAGACAGTAGTTAATTGGAGTGGAACATTGATTTGATTTAGAGTAGATCTAGTTGAAATTTTATGTAGTTAGATCCATTTGGACCAGTTGGTTTGAAAAAAATCATGAATTAAAAAAACAAACAAAGGAATCCATTTATTTGATGTCTTCTTCTTCTTCTTCTTCTATATCTTAAGAGCCCATGATCAATTTATTGATCATTTTGGTTCCTATGCATGTAGATGGGATTTGCAATGTTTCTGTTACTGGTGTTGATGAGGAAATCATGCACTAGGATGTAAATAGTATATTTAATTTATCGAAGTTACTGTGTGCACCACGGCGGTGTACCTAGCAAAACCATAGACCTATGTCTGCGTACACAGCTGCACAAATATACCATTGGCCTGGTTTTAATTTTAAGATATATTTTATAAACCTACCTGTTGGATATGATATTGTGTGGTCTTGTGGTAGAGTAGACGCTAGGCCATATTATTGTAATTTGTGATCAATTCCCAAATGGGGATCAAGTTTTGCAATTTTTTTTGCATCTATATTTCATATTTAAATTATTATGTACATTTTTAACAGAAGTTTAATGAGATTTAAAAAAATATTTTGTAGCAATTAAAATATTTTAAATGTATGTTATAAACCGAATATTAAGTGTTTAAACTTGAATAAATTGTGCCGGCCTTTCTTTGAATTTGAAAATAATAAGAAATTAGAAAACAAACAGAAAGTGCATGTAACGTATAATTTATTTATCATATATCATAATCACAGAACAATTTTGAATACTAAATGATATTTTATTTGTATTTCAACATTCTTCATGTAGATGAATATTTACATTTTACTTATGACATGTAAATGTAGCCATAATGTATAGACAACAACTTTTCACAAATCTGTTACCCTATGAACATCCAAAGAAATATCCAGTATATTATATGAATATTATTGTGCATGGTCGTCATTTCAACAATCTTGCTTTCACTTTGCATGGGCAAAATTTACACATGATATCCACGGTTTATTCTTAACTCTCAGTCTTGTCGAAAAATTTTTAAAAACACCATGATTTTAGAAACACAGTGCGGAAGCAAACTGTATAACAAAACGATAGGTCTGCGTTTACCCTGTTCATAAAGGATTTTGTTTCCATAGTGGCACAGCATGTGCTATTCGCATGGTAAAACACAACATTGTGTCACAGAAACCATTGCACAATCCGCATGGGACAGGATTTTTGGGTTTTTATTTTTGGGCTGTGATAAAATCTTACAAACCCAAAAATAATATTTTAAAATATTTTTTTTTAATAAACCCAACCTCTCACTCCTTTCCGGATCCGAATAGCCACTTTGATGTTTTATATTATGATTATGTTTAGATTTTGAAGTAAAGGCTATTAATCTTTTTATAAATCTTAAATATGATGTTGCTTAAATCATTTAAATCATGGGGTGGTGGGGGGTAATTAAAATTGGATTTTAACATGACATTTTGATTTAAATTAAAGTAAAATAAATTAAGAAAAATAATAAAATCTTAACTAAATACATTTAAAAGGACTTTCACCTTTTTCACAATCTGAAATTTCTTATTGTATTCTAATAAAAATTATTATGATACATGAAATATCAAATTTTAAAAAAAATAGTCATTGTATTAATATTAAAGACGATCTGATCTGTAAGAGTACCTAAGTTTTCTATTTCACACTTTCAAATAATCAATATCATAAAATTGTAATTAGGGAATGACATTTTGATTTCAACAATGCCCTCTGATTAAATAATTTGAATAGAAAAACTAATTTTCCACCTTCCTTTCTCAACCCCAAGTAGATTTCTAAAAATTGAAAAGTGATTACAAAGAAAATGTATCATAAAATTATTCAATCATAATTATATATTAAGAAACAATAATAGTGTGATTAATAAATAAAATAAAACATAAATTCTCTTGTAGCTAGTGCCTTTATATATAAATAGATTAGATAAATAAATATTTTCAAAATTAATTAAAATCAGTTTGATTTAAATCATGATTTTTATTGGTCTGATTTAAATCATGATTTAAATTGAAATATCATCTCAACCCTTGTTAATAAGTATTATTTGTTAAATTTATTTTATTTTACTGTTTACAGTTTTTATATACTTGTGTCATTTGCTAGATTGATTTACTTATAATGTTCAAGAGGGTGGGAAAAGCTGGCCAGCCACCTGCTAAAAAGACAAGGTAAAAAAAAATTAATATTATCTTCCTTTATTAGATCTAAAAATAAATTTCTCTATGTCTCAAAACTTTCATTGTACATATTTATTTTGTATTATTCCTACAAATAAATGAAATGGTGAAAAGCTTAAGTTTGAATAGCACCAGAAACACGTCTATTCTTATTCATATAAATAGTATAATAATAGGCTGATCCTTTTTCTCTTACCAAAGAAAATTTGAGGATGATGATGATACACCAAACTTTGAAGATGAGTTGGCACTTATGGATGCTATTGAGTCTGAAAAAGGTGACAGTGAGGGCATGGAAGTTGTGGGAGATGGGCCAGAGTATGAAGCTACATCCAGCAAATGGGCTAGACCTCCTCTACCAATCGTTGACAGTTCTAAAGACAGTATTGCATTTCAGCAAATAGATTTGGACTTTTATATAGGTGAGTTTAAATCTAATTTAGGTTGCGCAACCTACAAGTCACTTACAGCCTGCGGAAATGTTTAATCTGTCCTGCAAGACTTTTGAGAACTTTCAAAATCCTAAAAAAAAAATATTTTTATTTGCAAAAAAACGTTCCTATATTATATCTAAAACTTCTTTTTATTTTTTGAAGTACAATACGAAAAAAAAATATTAGTGCATTTGTTTGTCTTAAAATCGGTTATGAAAGTAATTTGACTTAAAGGGATTTATACAGCCTATTTTATAAGTTTGAATATAATTTTTTTTATTTAGGTTAGAACAAAGTTAAACTTGAGAAGACTTAATATTGTCTTTAAAAGTATTTCAGTTTCAGTCTGTTTTATTTATTTTGACCTTAAATACATTTTATTAAAATTTGAAAAATTCACAGTAGTGAATGTATTAATTTTATTTTAAGGGACTCACGTTAAAGGTATGCCAGGTGCAACTGTAGGACCAACCCCAATAATCCGAATGTATGGCATCACTATGGAGGGTAACAGTGTTATGGCGCACATTCATGGCTTCACTCCTTACTTCTATATCCCAGCACAGAATGGATTTCGTAAAGAGGATTGTGGGAAGTTTAGAGTATGATCACATACCTTACTTTGTTTTACATATATCTTAATCATTTACTCTTCATTAATAAGGTTTTAAATATCAGCTTTACAGCTCAAAATGTTATTTCGTTAATTATATGAAATAGATTTGTATGTTCAGATATTTTCAAATATTCTTTTCAGGATACTTTAGATGCTGTTGTGAGAAAGGATTTGAGATCTAATAAAGAACACATAGAACATGCAGTTTTGGCTGTTGACTATGTGATGAGAGAAAGTATTTGAATTTTATTTTAAATGTTTATTTTATGTGTTTAAATGGTATAAACCAGTGTTTCTGTATAATTTTTACTCAGAGTTATTTTTAGAACAATTTCTGGACCTACCCTTTGTCTTACAAATTTCTTGTAATTTTTTTCTATTTTAATTACTGGAGCAACATTAGAGCCTCTGAGGAGTGCATGCTGAACCCCTTGGAGCATAGGCTGGGAATCACTGATTTAAACAATTTAGCTTAGTTATATCTTTAGTCAAGTCCACAACCTTAAGGTTTCATTCAGCTTTGGTCTTTTTGCATATGTATTTATAACATTAACCATTTATATTATAATTGTTACAGTAAATTAGTACATAATAAAATAAAATGTTTTTTTAAAGAGCCAATGAATTAAATAACTTTAAACCCTGTTTTGTTATTTTTATATTTCACGTTTTAAAACTATAAATTAATTACAAAATATTTAAACTTGTAATTAATTTTGTTTAATTTCTCTCTTTACATTTAGGCATCTATGGTTACCATGGAAACAGAAAAACTCCATTCCTGCAGATAACAGTAGCTATTCCAAGATTGATAGCCCCATGCAAGAGATTGTTAGAGCAGGGTTTCCAGTGTCCTGGCTATGCGCATAATGCCTTCCAAACCTATGAAAGTAACATCGAGTTTGAAATCAGGTTTTAAATTTTTACCTTTTCTCTGATCTTTTGGTCTTTTTTTTTAACACACTTTAACTCAATTTAAATATATAAAATTCATATTTAACTATCACTAACATATTGGTTGTAATCCTTAAATAGCTGATTGGAAAGACATGAGATGGAATTATACTACATAACAAATGGCACTATGTTGAACATATCTTAGAATTCTTGTACTTTGATCACAAAGCTCATTGCTGAAAATAGGTCAATGAATTCAGTTTCTGCTCCAAACATGCTATTTACTCTTCTCAGTGTGGATTTTTTTTTCTAACTTAGTGGCAACGACATAATTTATTTATAATCTCACATGATTTTTATGGCCTACGGACTAAAAGGCATTCCCTTAGAACATAAATATTTTTAACTTCAAATATCAATGACCATTTTTAAATCTTAAATAATATTGTTTTTAAAATGTTGTTCAACTTTGTTTTGCCAGGTTTATGGTTGATGCTAATGTAGTTGGCTGTAACTGGATTGAACTTCCTGCTGGCTGCTATTCAATACGACAGGCATCTTCTTCTTCAAGTGCATCAGAAATGCACACTGCCTCTCGGTGTCAACTTGAAGTGGACATTGCTTGGACAAAATTTATTTCACATCCCACTGATGGAGAATGGTCCAAAGTAGCACCATTCAGAATTCTGAGCTTTGATATTGAGTGTGCTGGTAGAAAAGGTTAGTGTTAGTACCATTCAGAACTATGAGCTTTGATTTTAAGTGTGCTTGTGGAAAAAGTTAGTGTTAGGAGCTAGGTTAGGTTAGCACAAATGAGCTTTATTATTGAGTGTGCTGGTAGAAAAAGTTAGGGTTAACAAAATTTAGTATTATGAGCTTTGATATTAAGTGTGCTGGTAGAAAAGGTTAGGGTTAAGGTTTTTGTTAGCACAATTCAGAATTATGAACTTTTATAGTGAGTGTGCTGGTGGAAAGGTGTCAGTCAAAATAGTGATAATATATTTTGTATAGCAAAGGTATTGAAAAGATCATGTTTAACAGATTACTAATTCTTTTTCTTAGGAATTCTAAGAAAAACACAGTCGCATAAAAAAAAAAAACACAGGCCAACAAAAAAAAAAATTTACCTGGTGCCTTAAGTTTTGCCCCTTTGTTTATTTTTATTTAGGTCGAAAAATTGGTTTTACTTTAACAGCTCAAGTGAATTTTTAGGATAATATTTGGGGGCTGTAATATTCCAAAGGTATTTTACCTAAACCAAACAAGGACATTTAATGTTCCAACAGGTATTTTCCCCAAGGCAAACAAGGCCCCTGTTATTCAAATATTTTTTATTTTAATATTCCAACAGGTATTTTCCCCGAGGCAAACAAGGACCCAATCATTCAAATTGCCAACATGGTTATCAAACAGGGTGATCCTGATCCTTTCATACGCAATGTGTTTACTCTCAAATCCTGTGCTCCTGTTGTTGGCTCTCAAGTATTGTCATATGAAACGGAGCCAGAACTACTACAGGTATTCTTTTCTGCCTCTTTTTCCCCTAAGATAAAAAATCAATCATTCCTTTTTGTGTAGTGTTATTAGCATCTCGTGCATTGAGAAAAGTGTCATTGCACTATTTATGTATATATTATTAGGCTTTCATATTTTGATTTCCCCTTCGTGTCATACTTCTCAAGTAGATGTGGCTTGGAATCCATTGCACTGTTACTTACCTTCCACGCTTCTTTATGTTATGTTACCCACGTCATTGATAATGACGTCAACCAAGTGGATGTTTCTTGCTTCCTTATTCAAGATCTCAAGTGCAGATCTGGAATCAGAGAATCACTGCATCCAGCCCTGCGAGCTTCCAATATTGCAGCTAGATGTGCACCTTTTTCAGTGCCCTGTGTAGGGCCTCAAGCTCGGCATCCACCGCATCCAAATTCGAAGCTATGATTCTGTTTGATTCTGATAGACTATGTTACTGCAACCAAGTACTGGCATATGTGCAACGTTTTGGGAAACGATGCGGCTATCCTAACTGCTCCTAGCGGGTGCCAGGGCAGCCTTGAAACTCTCAATTGATTTCGAGTCCATGGCAGCATTGTCCAGTTGGTTCCAAGCAATTATTTTTCGTAGGAAGAATGACTGTTTATATTGAACTATGTTACACGAGGCACAGTGAAGCATTTATCATTGTTCCGGATGTAACTGCTCATGTAGTTGTCAGAGGTGAAGTCAATGTTTATTGAGCGTTTGGCTCTGATTAAGCGAACTGGCTTCTGCGGGGTCAGATACGTGTTAGCTGGAATGGCCAACACTAGTCCCGAGACCACTTTATAGAGGAATGTTAGACGGATCTTTTCTCGCCTGTCTTTGAGGGAGGGAATGTCAAATCTTTTTAAGAGGTCAGTGACGAAGCAAGGAGTGGTGGATTTGAAGTCACTTGCAATGAAGCGCACTGCATTGCATTGTATTTGCTCCATTTTTTCCACGTCTTGCTTTAGATATGGATCCCAGATTATCGCACCACATTCTAGTAGCGGACGGACAAGTGCAAGATAGGCATTTTGATTGCAGGATGTTGGGCAGTGGCTCAGATTTCTTTGAATGAAACCAAATGTATCAAATGAGTGCACCATACCATAATTTTCATTAAATGCTTATACACATAGAAACATATTGAACATTCTGGAAATTTATATACCCATTTTTACAAACTTAAGAGAAATGACATCTATGCAATAATAGTTCAAATGCCGTTTTGATTGGTTGTAAGAAAGAAGTAAGAGGCAGAGAAAGAGTTAGCAAGTAAAATAAATCTTTACGCTCATGCCACAGGTTGATACGGTCCCATAAGTGTGGGTCTTTGTGGTAATTTCCATTGAAGTGAGAAGAGGTGACGCATCGCTTATCTTTAGCAAAGTTTACGAAGGTGTTTACTGAATCTATCAGCAAGTCACCATTCTGTCTCGCACGTATTGCTCATTAGGCAGCATCTTGAAAAACAATGCAGTAAACAAAATTGTTGCTACTACAGGAGATTTAGTCTTATATTATAAAAATACCCACAGGGGAGTCAATATGTTGAGTGTGAAAGGCTCGTAGGTAGTTCTTTTGGCAGACGCCCTAGTCCAAAACTAGCAGGGAGTTGCCCAAAGCATGCTGTGAGAATTGTCAAGTAAATTCTTTAATTCTTATCACATCTAAACACAATTTGGGGGGGGGGGGGCGAGTGTCTGGCCAACAGATCAGCACAAGTTTTCCAAAAATTGTAGCTTTGAGATTATGAGGATCATGAGATTATGCGGACAATAAGTTACAATGTCCACATCGACACTTGTGCCACTCTTTAAGGTCATAAATTTCATGGGTGGGAAAATGAATCGTTAACTTTTTTTAGAGTAAAATCCAATTAAGTTATAGGTGTGAAGTTTGCAATTTAGATTTTTGGGTCCTATGTCCTGGATTGTATTGTAAAATTTTGTATTGTTAAGTTTTGTATTGTTAAGTTTTGTATTATTAAGTTTTGTATTGTTAAGTTTTGTATTGTTAAGTTTTGTATTGTTAAGTTTTGTATTGTTAAGTTTTGTATTGTTAAGTTTTGTATTGTTAAGTTTTGTATTGTTAAGTTTTGTATTGTTAAGTTTTGTATTGTTAAGTTTTGTATTGTTAAGTTTTGTATTGTTAAGTTTTGTATTGTTAAGTTTTGTATTGTTAAGTTTTGTATTGTTAAGTTTTGTATTGTTAAGTTTTGTATTGTTAAGTTTTATATTGTTAAGATTATAAGAATAAAACAGCAGAAGATGCACACGCAAGACTTTGCATTAGTAGAAAGTAGCACATCCATTATTTCCCAGTTAATGGGTAACATGGGTCATGTCTTCTATTGTTATATAAAAATATATACATTTTATTTCAATTTACAGAAATGGGCTTCTTTCTTTAGAGAAGTGGATCCTGATATTGTCACAGGCTACAACATACAGAACTTTGATTTCCCTTATCTCATTAACAGAGCCAGTCATCTAAAGGTCTGTGTCAAATCTTTGTCTATGATCTTAATTATCTCTCATCCTATACTCTTAAAAGGCTGTAAATATATTTGACTCTGGTTACTTCAGATTAAGCTAATTGCATTTTTTCCTTCCAGGTCAAGGACTTCTTCTACTTGGGTCGTATCAAAAACATTGTCTCTGTTCTAAAAGACGCAACTTTTCAGAGCAAACAAATGGGAAAACGTGAGAACAAAATTGTCAACATTGAAGGGCGGGTCCAGTTTGATTTATTGCAAGTAAGATTCAATTTTATGTGCACACTATTTTAAGATATATATATATATATATAAATTACTTACAACGATGAAAGGCATCGCAAGAAAATGTTTTTGTTCAGCCTTTGAAATTTATGGAGTTACAATTTAAAAGTTGTTCCATTAAAGTTGGTTTAACAATTTTGAAGATGTCGCTTTTAAATTATCAAACTTTCTGGAAAATTCTATGGAGTATGGAGTAAATATTATTACTTTTAAATCCACCATATTTCATTAAAGACCATGAAGGTTGTTGCTATTTAACTTGCCTAGATTCATGTAGAACCCTATAATGTTGTCTCAGCCTACTGGTATTGTACAGCTTATAAAAGGAAAAATTAAATTGGGACCCCCGAGCCCCCAATGTCGGATCAAGTTTGTTCAAGATCCATCAATCAATGTAGAAACGTATGCGGAGCAAACAAATTTTCACCTAGATATATACAAATATGTATTTGTAACATAATTATACCATATATAATTTATATGGATCTCTTTTTTTTAATTGCAAGGTTTTATTAAGGGATTACAAGCTGAGGTCCTATACTTTGAATGCTGTTTCATTTCACTTCTTACAAGAACAGAAGGAGGATGTCCAACACTCTATCATCACAGATCTGCAGGTAGCCATAGACTTAATGAGTCTTAACTCTTAGCCATGGACTTAATGAGTCTTAACTCTTTTCATAATAAATAGCATAACTTTATATACATAGTTTTTTTTGCTCATGAAATTTTGCATTATTAATTTTTGGCATTCTACATTTATTTAATCGTACATTTGGAAGGTATGAAAAAATTGCAAAAAATTTAAAATATTTGTTTTGGAAGTTGGAAAGACCTGTGACATGCCGATGTGAGAGATGCCATCTTAGGCACATTTTTGTTGCAAACGGTGGAGCAGTGCAATCACTATGAAACTGATTGTTACTAGTGAAATATTGATCGTTTTTTTATCTGCATCTTCTGAGGAAGATAATTGAGAAGCAGAATCAAGTGATTCTGATTTATATTTTAATGAAAAGTATCCATTATAGTCCACTAAAGTAGTAAATACCAGCTCATCAACAAGACAACCTGCTGGCCACTGGCAGCTCATCAACAACACAACCGGCTGGCAACTCATCAATTGACACAACCAGCTGGCAACTCATCAACAACACAACCAGCTGGCAACTTATCATTGACACAACCAGCTGGCCACTGGCAGCTTATCAACAACACAAGCAGCTGGCAGCTTATCAATGACACAACCAGCTGGCCACTGGCAGCTTATCAACAACACAACCAGTCGGCCACTGACAGCATATCAACGACTCAACCAGCTTGCAGCTTATCAACAAAACAACCAGCTTGCAGCTTATCAACAACACAACCAGCTTGCAGCTTATCAACAACACAACCAGCTGGCCACTGGCAGCTTATCAACAACACAATGATTCTTATTTTTGTTGATAAAATATTCCTGAAACTCTCTCTCTCTTCTGAAAAAACTCTTTGCATAAACTAGCGTGGTGTTTGGCCTGTTTCTTTTTAAGACATGGTATCTGAGTGAATCAATTATGACTCTGACAAAAATTTTTTTTTTCCTGAAATTTCTTTAGGTTAGTAAACAGATTGGAGACAAGCTAGGTTTCGTCTTGCAATATGAGATTCAAATCTTTTAGGTGTTTGGTCAGTTTGCAGAAAAGATTACCATTGCCTGTTTGTTAGGGTTAGGGTTAGAGTTAGCAATATGAGATTCAAATCTTTTAGGTGTTCGGTCAGTTTGCAGAAAAGATTACGATTGTTTGTTTGTTAGGGTTAGTGTTAGGGTTAGCAATATGACATTTAAATCTTTTAGGTGTTCAGTCAGTTTGCAGAAAAGATTAACATTGCCTGTTGGTTTAGTAAGTTTAAACCAAAAAAACCCCCCGAAAACCAGAAATTGAAGAAATGGTGTCACTTAAGCAAACCCAGCCAATGCCAACAGTAAGCCTAACTGGGCGCTGTAGTTGTATGTTACTATTTCTAAGTGCTTAATCATAATCCTACTTATAAATAGCTATGATAGAAATGAATCAAGATAGTCAGTTTATTACTGAATTAAGTTAATTAAATAGTGTTAAAAAAATTATATTTTTTATGGTGCCAAGTGTGCAGTGGCCAAAATAAAGTTTGAGAACCACTGCCCTACATATTATCAACTTTTTTACTTACTCCTCAGGAGAGTTACAGTGAGGATATCAGAAACATATGTGAAATGTTATGATTAAAAAATTGATACTGCTTTTTTATTTTTCAAAACTTCGTAATTATCCTTAATTATAGTTTTCCATTTTGGCAAATATTAACTTCATGATGCATGAAGAAACAGATTAGTTTAGAAGTTATTCTTAATTTGAACTTTTAGTTATGTTTATTTATTTTGGCTGAACAGAATGGAAATGAACAAACTCGTCGCAGACTTGCCGTTTACTGTCTCAAGGACGCCATATTGCCCCTGCGACTCCTGGACAAACTTATGTCAGTCATTAACTACATGGAGATGGCCCGAGTCACGGGAGTGCCTTTGCCATTTTTACTGTCCAGGGGTCAACAAGTTAAGGTTATGTCCCAGCTTTTAAGAAAGGTTAGCAATTAGAAAAATTATATCTTATCAGTGAAACAAAATAGGCAATTTATGTATGAAAATTGGAAAGTGAAACAAAATAGGAAATTTGTGTATGAAAATTGGCAATTTATCCTCATATTGATACAAGAACTCTTGATTTATAGTTTTTTTTTTTTTGATAAACAAAAATATTTAATTAAGGCACCTGCTTGTTTTTGATCTGATAAGCTGATGCTGTAGAATAGTATACTCATTTATTTCCACCACTTTGCCTAGTATGTATTGTTTGGTTTATAGATATTTTCCCTTAGGGGCCATCCCTATATTCTGTGACCAAAAATTACAAATTTTAGACTCCTCTTCCTCCTTAATGCATATGCACTTTTTTGGCATTCCCCATATGCCTATGTGCAGTACAATCCCCTCCCCCCATTTTAAAACATTTATGTGGAAGGGCTGCATTCTTTTGCCCACTGCAGCTCTTTTTTTTTCATGGAGTTGGGGCGGCAAATATTTTGTCAGAACTCAGGCGGAAATCGCACTAGCTACTCCACTGTTCGGGGGTATGGGACAGGTATATTAAGTTTCAAAAGGGGGAGGGGGTGGGAAATACGTGGGAGACAGAATGGTGACTTGCTGATAGGTTCAGTAAACACCTTCGTAAACTTTTGTTTAAACAGGAGATTGTTAAGTTAACCACCTTTATTGTTGTCATATATTATTGCATTTAAATATATTCCACTAACTTTAAGTTTTATCTTAACTCCTAAGTAGACAACAAAAGTTCAATTCAATTTTCTTTGTGGCAGCATGAAGACCTCTTTTTTTTTTTTACCCACAATTTTCAGTGATTAGGTGGGGGCATGTTTACAATTTTAGTCATTTGTCCCCCATCCACTTTTTATTTCACCTGTTCAGCTGGATGGTTCAGCTGAACAAAATAATTATGCCACGAATTGCGTCACCAGGCTAAATAATACTGTTGCGTTATCTAGTGAGTTATCTGTGAAAACAGAGCAACAGTATGATGATAACTATGGTATTATATTACTACATTATAACGATAATTACAAAACACTGGTAATATTTTTATGGTCTTTTTTTAAAAAATCATGGATTTCACAGATGTTTAGCTGACACTTGGCTTTATTAGAGAAATTAAAAACTGTTAGAATTTCAGAATAATTATTTGCAGTGTTTGTGCATAAATCTATGTAATTAATTTCTCTCTATGCCATACGCACATGTAAGCCAGGTCTCCAAAATCAAATGCCCCTCAGTGCGTACATATTATATGGATGCCCCCTCAGTGCGTACATATATTAATGTCCCCTTAGTGCATACATATTATATGGATGTCTCCTCAGTGTATAAGTATTATATGAATGTCCCTTTGGTACGTATGTATTATATTGATGTCCCCTCAGTGTGTACCTCTTATACTGATGTCCCCTCAGTGCGAACATATTATATGAATTGTCCCCTCAGTGTGTACATATATGAATGTCCCCTCAGTGCGTATGTATTATGTAGATGTCTTCTCAGTTTGTACATATTATATGGATGTCCCCTCAGTGCCTATGTATTATATGGAAGTCCCCTCAGTGTGTATGTATTATATGAATGTCCCCTCAGTGCGTACATATTATATGGATGTCCCCCTCAATGTGTACTAGAGACCGACCAAAAGTGATTTTCTGATTTTGGCTAAAACCGAAATTAGGCCGAAAATTAAAAATGACTTTAGTCCGAAACCATAAATTAAACCGAAAGTTAACATTTCTGTTTTGTCCAAAGCCGAAATTAAATCAAAATTTAACTTTTTGGTTTCGGCCGAAGCTGAAACTGAAATATTTAGGTATTTTGAAATTCTTCCCGGCATACATTCTACATTAATAAAAAAAAAATGATTTACATTCTTTTTTTAAAAAATGAGATCATTGTGAATATTAATAAATAAATATTTAATGAATACTTTGACCAAAATTCCCAATCACTTATGCCATTACAATTCTGGATAGGTTTAAGGTTTGGGTTAACCAACTAACAGAGGAACAAAGGCCATTAACAATTCTGGTTAGGGTGAGGGTTAACCAACTAACAGAGGGACAGAGGCCATTACAATTCTGGTTAGGGTTAGGGTTAACCAACTCCCAGTGGAGCATATGCCATTACAATTCTGGTTAGTTTTAGGGTTTGTGTTAACCAACTCACAGAGGAACAAAGGCCATTAACAATTCTGGTTAGGTTTAGGGTTAGGGTTAACCAACTCACAGAGGAACAAAGGCCATTAACAATTCTGGTTAGGTTTAGGGTTAGGGTTAACCAACTCACAGAGGAACAGAGGCCAATAACTTGAACAATTCTGGTTAGGTTGAGTAAATCCCTAGTTGGTGACTAAAGAAAGCTAACCCTAACCCTAATCATCATACCACCTAATATCATTTATCATAGGCCAAAGAACAAGATTTGGTGTTAGGGTTAGGTGTTTAGCTGACACTTGGCTTTATTTCACTGTACGACCTATTATCATTTATCATAGGCCAAAGAACAAGATTTGGTGTTGCCAGCACAAAAAGTAGAGACTGGCGATGAATATGAAGGAGCGACCGTGATCGAACCTGTAAAGGGGTAAAATATTATTGACTGTAGTAGTTAATCCAGATATCTGTATATTAAACTTAAAATGGTGAATAAATTTAAATAAAGAAAATCTCGAACTTTTCGGTTTCAAAATTGTGAATTTTTCTGTCATTTTTGTGTGGATCATGCTTTAAATTGGAGCAGATTATTTTTTAAAATAAATTTAATTAACTGAATTTTTGTTTTTTTGCCTCAGGTACTATGACATTCCCATAGCAACCCTGGACTTTGCATCTCTATATCCATCAATTATGATGGCACATAATTTGTGCTACACATCTCTTTTGACTGAAACAGCCACAAAAAGGTAACTTTATTTATGCTACACATCTGTATGGACTGAAACAGCCACAAAAAGGTAACTTTATTTATGCTACACATCTCTTTTGACTGAAACAGCCACAAAAAGGTAACTTTTTAATTGTTACACATCTCTTTTGTCTGCAACAGCCACAAGAAGGAAACTTTATTTATGTTGCACATCTCTTTTGACTGAAACAGCCACAAAAAGGTAACTTTATTTATGCTACACATCTGTATGGACTGAAACAGCCACAAAAAGGTAACTTTATTTATGCTACACATCTCTTTTGACTGAAACAGCCACAAAAAGGTAACTTTTTAATTGTTACACATCTCTTTTGTCTGCAACAGCCACAAGAAGGAAACTTTATTTATGTTGCACATCTCTTTTGACTGAAACAGCCACAAAAAGGTAACTTTATGTATGCTACACATCTCTATGGTCTGAAACAGCCACAAAAAGGTAACTTTTCAATTGTTTATTTTCTTAATAACTACGTCCTGACCTTTTTGTTTATTTTATATTATTCTTTTTAAAAATAAAAAAAAAAATGGCTCCTTAATTGCCACCGTTTACACTCATTATTTATCCCTGTTAGTTGTGTCTATATGTAGCAGTTTACATTCATGTGTCTAAGTTTACACTCATTATTTGTCCCTGTTAGTTGTGTCTATATGTAGCAGTTTACATTCATGTGTCTAAGTTTACACTCATTATTTATCCCTGTTAGTTGTGTCTATATGTAGGAGTTTACATTCATGTGTCTAAGTTTACACTCATATGTCTTAGTTTTCAAACTCATGTGTCTTAGTTTACACTCATGTGTCTCAGTTTACAATAATGTGCCGAGTTTATGCTTGTGTCTTCTTTACACTCATGTGTCTTAGTTTACAATCATGTGTCTTAATTTACACACATGTGTCAGTTTACACTCATGTTGTGTCAGTTTACACTCATGTGTCCTAGTTTACACTCATGTGTCCTAGGAGTGTTGTGTCAGTTTACACTCATGTGTCTTAGTTTACATTCATGTGTGTCAGTTTACACTCATGTGTCTTAATATTTCTTGAATTGTTAGTTGTGTCAGTATATAGGAGTGTTGTGACTAATTAGTCCATTGTCTCAATGAGGATGACATTATTCTTTTGATGGTTGATGGATGGGGCATAATGTATGTGAGTTTGTGGCTGAATGAGGCCAATCTTGGCATAGAAATGTCTTTTGATGGTTGGTGGATGGGGTATTGTGTATGTGGGTGTGTGGCTGAATGAGGCCAATCTTGGCATAGAAATGTCTTTTTGTGGTCAGTTCAAGGGATAGACAAGAGATCTCCAGGTGAAAGGGTGATCCTTGAATTTATGAATTGCAGGTAAGTTTTAAAGGGGTACCATGCCACTGTGCAAGCAACTATCTTGTACTGATATTCTGAGTAAAATCCAAGACAACTTTTTTGTGGTCAGTCTTGTGGGCAACAATGAAGGCATTGCATGCAGGAAGTTTCACATAGGGAACTTAGAAATTTCTTTGTTATTTCATGCTTCTTGAGCTGCCATATGGTTGGATAAATTGGATTTGTTCATGAACACCACCCAATACTCATTTGGCTGTTAAATTTGAGAGCCATGATAGATGTCTTAATGACCTTTCCTTCTGCAATGGGGAACATCCTGCCCCCTCTGACTATGCTCTAAGTGAACCAACTTTGTGAGGAAAATGTGGTCATCACCTTAATGAAGCAGCAGAGAATATTCCTGCAGCTAGGGGTTACATCTGGGAATGCTTGTTGGATGAATGGTCAACTTGTATTGTATCCCATGAAGAGCTTGTTGGATGAATGGTCAACTTATATAGTATCCCATTGGTAAACTTGTATAGTATCTCAGTGGTCAACTTGTATAGTATGTCAGTGGTCAACTTGTATAGTATCTTAGGCTAATGTTTGGCACAGCAGAAGATACCGATTTAGGTGCAAACTGGAATATTTGTTATTCATCTAACTCGAAGTAAATAGGCAAATTACCTTGGCCATCACTATTCTCAGAGTCACCATCACTGTTCTCAGAGTCACCATCACTGTTATCAGAGTCACCATCACTGTTATCAGAGTCACCATCACTGTTCTCAGAGTCACCATCACTGTTCTCAGAGTCACCATCACTGTTCTCAGAGTCACCATCACTGTTCTCAGAGTCACCATCACTGTTCTCAGAGTCACCATCACTGTTCTCAGAGTCACCATCACTATTCTCAGAGTCACCATCACTATTCTCAGAGTCACCATCACTATTCTCAGAGTCACCATCACTGTTTTCAGAGTCACTATCACTATACTCAAAGTCATTATATCTATTCTTTAAGTGAAAATCAGCTCTTTATGATCACCAAAAATATCAATTTATTTATAGACAATAATGTCTCACAGTAAAAATATGTCACTTGAAAACATCACATGATTTTTTTCTTCTTAGGACATCGGAGCGCTATGAGCATGCTAAAATAGAATGGACACCAGCGCTATAAAAATACTCAATCATCATCATCATCACTTTCTGTCTGTAACCTAGTAGTTTCCAAAATTTTATCCGGTTCGCCCTAACACCCGCAGCTTTCTCTCCAGGCATTGAAAATATCACACAGTTTTCATAATTATTTTACCACTTTCAATCCAGTGTGACAGGAATGATATTTAGCGAACCTGTCATAAACAAGTAACTATCATGTGACAGGAATGATATTTAGCGAACCTGTCATAAACTAGTAACTATCATGTGACAGGAATGATATTTAGCGAACCTGTCATAAACTAGTAACTATCATGTACCAGGAATGATATTTAGCGAACCTGTCATAAATTAGTAACTATCTTGAGTAATCGCTGTCCTACAACTTGTAAGCTGATGGCGTGTAATGATCTACATATGTGTTTAATTTATTTTTATCCAACCCTATAATTCAGAAAATGTGTTTGCTATTTTGAAGTTTAATTTGTGCAAAATCAACACCCCCTTGTTACATATGATGTACTATAAGGGTTGTCCCATAATTCTGGGAACTGGCTTGTCGTCCATGAGAATAGTTAAGACAAATTACAGGAATAGAATAAATAGTTGTTCACCTTTTGCATTTAGCACTGTGTACAATCAAACCAGGATCTTGTCAGTTATAAGCTTAAGCTATAAATAGTCACCATTAACAAAAATTATCTTTTTATTCAAAATTCTGTATTAATATAATCTTTTTTTTTAAAATACAGAATTTTGAATAAAAAGATAATTTTTGTTAATGGTGACTATTTATAGCTTAAGCGGCTGTTTTAATATAATCTTTTTTTTTAAAAAACAGCCGCAACAAAAAAACTTAAAACAGCAATCATTAAATAACCCTAACCCAACCTAAAAAGCAATCATTAAATAACCCGGACCCTAAAACAGCAATCATGGGAAACTGTTCTATTTGTCCCCTTAAAAGATTGTGAAACATTACAATAGACCACATTAGAAACTTCATTTAAATATGGCTTACTCACTTCCTCATAGTCCAGCAAAGAACGTTTGGATAAGGCCAGTGGCATGATTAATGCAACCATGAATAAAAAAATGTTTCATCTACTGCATGTAATTGACATGATTAATGCAACAATAAATCTTTTTTAATTTAAACTTCTGCATATAAGTGACCTTGAACATGTACTTTTATTCTAGTTTATCTGCCGATCAGTTTATCAAAACCCCATCTGGCAACTACTTCTGTAAAGCCTCTGTTAGAAAAGGATTATTGCCGGAGATTTTGGAACATTTACTCGGAGCAAGACAGAAGTAAGTCACCATTTGTTTTCTCTACTTCACATAGCCTGAAAAGTCTGTTTTCAAATGATTCTGAAGGGCGTACATCATTTTTCTAACTAACATAAATTTATTTTTTCACAAAATTTAGTTTTGAATTTTTTTAACGTTAACAATAAACTTTATTTACCTTTCTTCTGACCAGAGCAAAATCTGAAGTTAAAAGTTAACAATAAACTTTATTTACCTTTCTTTGACCAGAGCAAAATCTGAAGTTAAAAGTTAACAATAAACTTTATTTACCTTTCTTCTGACCAGAGCAAAATCTGAGCTTAAAAACGAGACAGATCCATTCAGGAAAAAGGTTCTGGATGGTCGGCAACTGGCTTTAAAAATTAGCGCCAACTCTGTTTATGGCTTCACTGGAGCTCAAGTTGGCAAACTGCCATGTCTTGAGATTTCTCAGGTTGGTTAGGGTTAGGATTACCATCATGTCTTGAGATTTCTCAGTTTGGTTAATGTATTTTTCATTAATCTCCGATGTCACTTGGTCTTTTTTTGTTTTGATTTTCTCTTCTAGCTTCGCATCAATGGATCAACTTAGATGAGCTTTTTTTTGTTGTTTTTTTTTCATTTCAATTTAATTATTTTGGCAATGATGGGTCAAGAAAAAGCTTCTGATGCAAATCTTATTTGTTAAATTGAGGTAAAACTGAATAGTTTCTCCAAATTCTCAGAGTGTGACGGCATTTGGACGATTGATGATTGAGACAACCAAACAATATGTAGAAGAAACTTACACACGAGCCAATGGATATGAGCATGATGCTAAGGTCAGGTTTTTTTCTAACTCTTATGATACTTACGCCAATGGTTATGAGCATGATGCTAAGGTCAGGTTTTTTTCTAACTATTTTGATACTTAAGCCAATGGTTATGACCATGATGCTAAGGTCAGTTTTTTTTCTCTTTTGATACTTAAGCCAATGGTTATGAGCATGATATAAGGTCAGGTTTTTTTCTATTATGATACTTAAGCCAACGGCTATGAGCATGATGCTAAGGTCAGATTTTTTTTCTAACTAGTGTTATACTTATTGATAATCCATTCATTTATATTAAATTTTATTACGCCTGTTCTACTTCAAATTATCTCCATGTTATAAAAAAAAAAATTATTTGTTTAAATTCACTCTGGATATGTATTCCAAGGAGTATTAAGGAAACAGGATGAGATCTAGTGCAGCGTCTCTCAACCAAAGCGTCGCAACCCCTTGGGGGTTGTATGTAGCCTGACAACATAACTGGTTGCTTTGTTGTAATGTTATTCTATTTTGTTATGAATATTATTTTTTTTATAAAAAATAATGATATGGGGCCATCCCTATAGTACGTTGGAAAAAAAACAAAAACATTTTCACTAGGGTTGCCCTGCTTTTAGTCAGGGGCACCATGAAATATTACACAATTTTTTTATATATTTTTTTACACTTTTAATACTAGATAACATCTATTGGGCCATCTGAAAACAGTAACTCACTTCAGTTATTACAGTTTGGAGTTATTTGTTTAGTCTTAGTGACTGCAGTAGTTATTAGGTTAGGCTTAGTGACTGCAGGATTTTTATTGATTTTTACCCAACCCTTTCTTTCATTTTTTAAAAAGTTTTTAATTTCTCGAAGTGTACTTGTACAAAATTAAAATGGATGCCTGGTGAAAAGCTAAATTTGGCTATGGCACCTAGGAATCGGAACATTTTAGGAACCACTGACGTAGCTGAAGAAGAACAAAATTGTCACACAGGCATGGTACATATGGAGGACTAAATATTACTTTCACTACTACTACTGAGTATTAAAAGAGTATTAAAAGAAGTCAGCCAGTGGGGGAGCAAAGAAACACTGCTGATGGCTAGTGTTTGTCTCCCTACCAAGTAGTGTTTCTTTGATCCGCCCCCCCCCCCCCCCCCCCTCCCTGCTAAGGCATCAGTGTGCATGGACCCCCCATTCCCTGCCAAGGCATCAGTGTGCATGGACCCCTCCTCCCTGCCAAGGCATCAGTGTGCATGGACTTTAAGTGCGGGTTCACACTTGTGCGATGGGGGAATGCTGCGAATATGCAGCTTGTTTCTGCATCGCATCCGCACCTCTGGCAGTTTACACTGCATATAATATCCAAGTTTCTTTGTTAAAACAGTTGCTTTTACTGTCATTTTACGGTATTTACCTTATAAGAGTTAATAATATTAATTAAAAAAATGTTCTGAGCTTCCCTTATTTTGCTTCAAAGTTCTTTATTTGAAATTTAAGTTTTTTTCCCTGAAACTTACTTCTTAAAAGAGGTGCGTGTTATACGCCGATAAATACAGTATTTAAAAATGGATTCATCATAGACTACTAATACCTCAATTTCAGTCAATACCAGCAATTTAGGCCACCACCACCTCAGGCTGTCGAGGACTGCTGTCTTGCTGAGAAAGAATGTATGTCATCTAACAGACTAAAATTAAATGACGATAAGACTGAGGCAATTATTTGTGGTTCAGACGCCAATCTTCAGAAATTTGCTATTGCATCAATAAAAGTTGGTGAATCAGAGATCCCATTGTCCTCCACTGTCAGAGACATTGGCTTATATATTGACAGTAAACTTAGAATGATTCCCCATATCAGTTCTGTGGTTCAGGCATGCTTCTGTCATCTACGTGCCCTGGGTCAGCTGCGTCCTCAACTCAATAAGAGCACAGCTAATGCTGTAGCAGTAACTCTAATCCAGTCAAGATTAGATTACTGTAACAGTTGTTTGTGGGGTTTACCTTAGAGCCATATTCAGAGACTCCAGAAGGTACAAAATACTGTAGCATGTATTGTATCGTGGATAAAGAAATCTGACCAAATCACCCCAGTTCTATATGATCTCCATTGAGTTCCTGTGAGTGAGCGCATTTATTACAAATTTCTGTCCCTGGTGTTCAGCTGCATAGAAGGTTCTTCACCGGAATATCTTAAAGAACTGATGTCTAAACATGTGTCCTTAAAGAACCTGCGGTCTTCAACACAGTCCTTACTGAAAATTCCCAGTGTGGATGAACACAGAGAAAAGTCATACGGAGTGCGCTCTTTTGAAGCGATAGCGCCAAAATAATGGAACAGTTTGCCTCAATCTTTTAGGGGCATTGAAAATGATAAAAAATCATTTAAGAACATTTTAAAACTTTTTTGTTTACATAGATATAAGAAAACTAGAGCGCAGTGAGCATGCTAAAGTAGCATGGATACCAGCGAAATATAAATATGAAATAAAATCAAAAAACATTTTGGCAAATGTCATAGGGTTGCTGCACTAAAAAGGTTGAGAACTGCTGATGTAGTAGAGCAGTCGTCCATATCAATATTCTAGACTTACTTAAAAAGCAAAGCTCTAAGAAGGGGCCTGTTTCCGCTGCATTTAGATTAGAGCTGTTTCTCCATATTTTAGACTGCTCTTAGCTCCATCAAATTTTGGAAAGAAAACATATTATCTGATTGAAATTTTCCTTGATTTGTTAAAATTTTCATCATGTAATGTGACATCTAGCCATGTGACATCTAGCAGATGTGGTGCAAACCAGAAAGTCACTTAGTGATAACTGTTTGCAGAAGCCTTTACAATTGATCACTAGATGGCGCTCTACAGTAATTAAGTTTAACTGTTGTTTTGGTAGTTTCTCACACTTACATGGTACTTTGTGTTCATATATAAATAGCTCTCCGTTTGGGCACAGTGTTAGTTTTGAATTAGTTTTAAGAGATGTATATAGTGAACATTGTTTTGGTTAAGTCAAGTTATTTAAGTCTTTCTTCTCGTTTGTTGTTCTAAAAATTGGTAAGATTTCACTTAAAAGTGAGCATGAAAATTAAAAATGTATAATAAATTGAGAAAACCGGGTTAGGGTTAGATGCAGCTAGGTGCTTTGTGAATCAAAAATAGTTTGGGAACTTCAGTTTGAAACTAATAATAGTAAAGCTTAAATATACAGTAGATGGTCAATTATCCAAACCAATCGGTTTACGGGGGCGGTTTGGATAACCTATTTATTAGGATAATTTTATATATATATTTAAAGATATAAATTTCTTTGTTTCAAATTAAATATCTAAAACAATCTTTATATCAATTGTTAAAATTATTTAGGTAATATATGGAGACACAGATTCTGTCATGTGTAAGTTTGGGGTAACCACAGTAGAGGAAGCCATGAAATTGGGAAAGCATGCAGCAGATTACATCTCTACCAAGTTCATTCAGCCAATTCGTCTAGAATTCGAAAAGGTTAGAAGCGCTTGTTAAAATGATGGATCACCCAAAATGTAATGTCTAGAAATCAAGAAAAAGTGTGATACTAATCCATAATTTTGTAGTTGTTTGGGTTAGGGAGGGGAGATTATTAAAGAGCCATTAGAAAGTTTAATTAAATAATTCAGTCCATGTGTTAGGGTTAGGGAGGTGAGATTATTAAAGAGCCATTAGAAAGTTTAATTAAATAATTCAGTCCATGTGTTACATAAATGGAATCATATTCAATCATGGTTAATCACAACCAGGTTTACTTCCCCTACCTACTGATCAACAAAAAAAGATACGCTGGCTTGTATTGGACCAACCCCAAGAAACATGATAAGATGGACTGTAAGGGAATAGAGACTGTCAGGAGAGATAACTCACCTCTTGTTGCTCATCTCATCAACACCTGTTTGCAATTGCTTCTCATTGACAGGTGAAACTGTGGAGAGATAAAGAAATAAATTGGAGATAGTTCTTTTTAATCAAAAAGTATTCTTGAATCTATCCCAAACTCTTTAATCTATGTATACCTTGTTTTATTGGTATACTATTTATACCTTGTTCTACTATTTCATTCACATAGCTTTAATGCAGTCCTTCAATTATTATCTTTAATCTAAGGCTGGTTTAATTATTTTTTAATTAAAATCAATGCAAACACCCCCACCACACCACCGCTACACCCCCACACCAGTAAACCACCACACCCCCATTTTGTGTTGATTGGGGATTTTTGCAAAATAGTTACCCAAAATTTGATCATGTTTTTTTAAATTTTTGTTGCACATGCAGAAATCCACAAGGAGCGATTGAGTATGCTCAGCAGAACATATCAGACTTATTGTGTAATCGCATTGATATCTCTCAACTGGTCATAACAAAAGAGTTGACCAAAACGGACAAGGAGTACGCAGGCAAGCAGGCTCATGTAGAACTGGCCAACAGGTAGGAAGTCATGCCTTATTTCTACTCACTCATTTCAAAAAATATTTAGCAACTGTTAAAGATTCAGTAAGCTAATTTGCTACTTGAAGAAGTCACAGAAAAAAACTAACCCTACCCCTAGCAACTGTTAAGATTTATTAAGATAATTTACCGTCTCAAGGAGTCACAGAAAAAATAGAAAAAAAAACCTCTATAAAGTGTGATTTGATTGAAATGTAATTTTTTAAAGATACAAAATACATGTCAAAGTATATTAAAACATTTAGATTTACAACTTACATCTTGTTTAAATTTTCTGGCATGAATTGATAAATATTACCATACTAACTTTACACTATGACAACATAATAACTTTACACTATGACAGCATACTTACTTTATTACGACATACTAACATTACACTATGATAACATTTTAACTTTACACTGACAACATACTAAATTTACACTATGACAACATACTAACTTTACACTTTGACATACCAAGTTAGCATGATTATTTGTAAACTTCCTTAGAATTCCAATTTTTGTAACCTAACTGCAGAACACTTATAACTTGCAAATAAATGTGTTGGGTGTAAACTTGAAGATAATGCAATAGATACTACAAATTTCAGAATGCAAAAAAGAGACCCTGGCAGTGCCCCCAAACTAGGTGATAGAGTGCCCTATGTTATTATAGCTGGACCAAAAGGGACTGCAGCATATCTCAAATCTGAGGTAAGTCCCTCTGTTTAGTTTATATCTAGTTGAAATGGTCTTGGTCTCCTGGTGCTTGCTAATATCTGAGGAATAAACATGTAGCTCTCTATCATTTAACCGAGAGCCTCATCCAAATTTTGTTTGATGGGTGGAATCTTTCTCTATACTGAAATTACTGTAATGTGTTCTGTTACTGTTAAAACTTGTCATGACCTGAGCGGATATCTCAGTGGATATCTAAGGGTTAACTACTAATCATTTCTCACATGCCCATGTAATAACCCAAAAGTCCAAGTCTTCACATATCAATTCTTTATTTACATAATTAAAACACTACACAGAATAATGAAATTCACTAGTGGAATGATGATTGATAATAAATTAATTTCTCTTTAGAAAATAATGTGATGTCACTCATACATTGTATCTGCCTTTTTAATCATGAGACAAAATCTTCATAACTGCATTTTCATCCGTTACAATATGGCTGCCTAAGTAGTTCCTCACTCTCTATAATTATATGCATGTATCGCTACACTCACATGAAGGGCTTTCTACTTAGCAGTAAAAGTAAATGGACATCAAATATCATTATGTTCCAACAATTTTTGTCAATATAACAATATATGTTAAGCTTTAATAATAATTTTACATAACACACAAGTAAACGTTTTGGCACACAACACACAAGTAATCGTTTTGGCACACGCATTTACATTACAGTGTACTACAGTATGTTGTCACTATAGGGCCTTTGTATATTATGTAAAATTATTGTTTAAGTGTAACATGTATTTGTAACATGTAACATGTAACAAGTTGTTCGTGTCTAATTAATCAATTTTAAAGCTTTATCGCAGTCCAACACTCTTACAGATGTGTTAGCTCTCTTTGTGTTAGATGCAGTAGCTGTACAGACATGTTAGATATAAGTAATACTAAATATAACAATTTTATAACAGCTCTTCATATTACTGAAACAAAACCAGGAAGACAAAGTAATAATCATGTTTATTTTATTTCTTGTCCCTGTTTTAGTTAAAATTGTCTCATTAAATATCAGTCATTACAAATTGTTTTTTTTTTGTACACAACTTTGCCAACAGGATCCTATTTATGTACTAGAAAACAACATTCCTATCGACACACAGTACTATCTGGAGAACCAGCTTTCTAAGCCGCTACTGAGGATTTTTGAGCCCATACTTGGAGAAAATAAAGCTGAATCCATTTTGCTGAGTATGTATCAGTTTGTATAGCTGTCGTTGAATGAGAAACTCAGTGCTTTTACTTTTGGACACTCCTCTCTGTATGTTCAAATAAGTTTTCATATACACATCTCACCCTAACCCTCTTGCCTCCATATACACATCCCACCCTAACCCTCTTGCCTCCATATACACATCCCACCCTAACCCTTTTGCCTCCATATACACATCCCCCCTAACCCTCTTGCCTCCATATACACATCCCACCCTAACCCTCTTGCCTCCATATACACATGCCACCCAAACCCTCTTGCCTTCTCCAAAAACAAAACCAAAAAAACATACAAACTAATATCATGTACAAGACAACAAACAAAACTAAGTCAACATACACCAGTGTTTCATACCGGGAGGCAATTTGAAGATTTCGGGATGGGGGGGAGGCAATGTTAAAACTGGACATTTTAAAAGTCAACCACCTCTGTTGTTTTTCATATATAACATATTGTTTGTCATCTGATTACATGTTGTTTTGTCATATATTATATGTTGTTTGTCATATATTACATGTACTTATTACATCACATAAATGTATGGTGTACTTATTATATCACACACACATAACAAATTTTTCAGATTTTTTTTACACAATATAACGGAACAATAAACAATGGCTAGATGGGAACAGGGAACAACATACAATGGCTAGATGGGAACAGGGAACAACATGCAATGGGTAGATGGGAACTGGGAACAATATACAATGGCTAGTTGGGAAAAGGGAACAACATACAATGGCTAGATGGGAACTGGGAAAAACATACTATGGCTAGATGGGAACAGGGAACAACATACAATGGCTAGATGGGAACTGGGAACAACATACAATGGCTAGATGGGAACAGGGAACAACATACAATGGCTAGATGGGAACAGGGAATGACATACAATGGCTAGATGGGAACAGGGAACAACATACAATGGCTAGATGGGAACAGGGAACAACATACAATGGCTAGATGGGAACTGGGAACAACATACAATGGCTAGATGGGAACAGGGAATAACAACATACAATGGCTAGATGGGAACAGGGAACAACATACAATGGCTAGATGGGAACAGGGAACAACATACAATGGCTAGATGGGAACTGGGAACAACATACAATGGCTAGATGGGAACAGGGAATAACATACAATGGCTAGATGGGAACAGGGAACAACATGCAATGGGTAGATGGGAACTGGGAACAATATACAATGGCTAGATGGGAACAGGGAACAACATACAATGGCTAGATGGGAACTGGGAACAACATACAATGGCTAGATGGGAACAGGGAACAACATACAATGGCTAGATGGGAACTGGGAACAACATACAATGGCTAGATGGGAACAGGGAATAACATACAATGGCTAGATGGGAACAGGGAACAACATACAATGGCTAGATGGGAACAGGGAACAACATAATATGGCTAGATGGGAACAGGGAACAACATACAATGGCTAGATGGGAACTGGGAACAACATACAATGGCTAGATGGGAACAGGGGAAAACATTGTTTTAGACGTACATGCAATGGCTAGATGGGTACAGGGAACAACATACAATGGCTAGATGGGAACAGGGAACAACATACAATGGCTAGATGGGAACAGGGAACAACATACAATGGCTAGATGGGAACAGGGAACAACATACAATGGCTAGATGGGAAAAGGGAACAACATACTATGGCTAGATGGGAACAGGGAACAACATACAATGGCTAGATGGGAACAGGGGAAAACATTGTTTAGACGTACATGCAATGGCTAGATGGGTACAGTGAACAACATACAATGGCTAGATGGGAACAGGGAACAACATACAATGGCTAGATGGGATCAGGGAACAACATACTATGGCTAGATGGGAACAGGGAACAACATACTATGGCTAGATGGGAACAGGGAACAACATACTATGGCTAGATGGGAACAGGGAACAACATTCAATGGCTAGATGGGAACAGGGAACAACATTTTCTTAGATTTTCATGAAGTAGATGACTAATAAACTCTCTCAATTCTAAGTGTGAAACCCTCAATTGTTGATATGATTTAACTCAATTCATTTATTTTATTAAACAAGTGACTTCTTGTTGTTTTTTTTATCTTACAGAAGGTGAACATACAAGAACTAAAACAGTGGTCATGTCAAAGGTGGGGGGCCTCTCAGCGTTCACAAAGAAAAAGAGCACTTGTATTGGCTGCAAGGTTCCATTAGATCATGAAGGTACATGGTGATATATTCATTGAATACATTTCAGAAATGCTTCTTTAAGTTAATTTTATAGAGCTCTTTATGCTCAAAATAAAGGCATTCAATAAAGAAAAAATAAAATTTGTTTCTATTACAAATGACCCTGATGGCCTTCAAAGATATGGAAAAATTATAACATATTTTCACATTATATTTGTGTTGTGCAATTTAATGTTTAGCATTGCATGTATTTAATTGATGGACTTATTGCATAGGATGTATGAAACTTATACGAAATGCTTATGAACATTTTACCAAATGCTTATGAACATAATGCCAAATGCTTAGCTTACAGGAATAAAAAATATCTGACGAAGTAGCCATGATCAAGAATCAAGCAGCAGCCGAGTATTCTAACAAAACATGTCATGTGGTATCCATACAATTTTCCAGCTGTATAAGATTTCACATGTAACGGAAAACCACTACTTTTCAGAATAACTTCACCTTGAGGACAATAATTCGTAGAGCATCCATACGCAGCTCCCCCTATATTAGGAATTGTTTATAGTTTGCCAATAAATCATCCTCTGCAATTTCTTATCGAGCAGACTTATTTCTGAGAATTCTGTGAATATTAAAGGTAACACTTTTTTTGTCAACAGTTCAAGCTGTTTGCCAACACTGTAAGCCTAAGGAGTCAGAACTTTATCAGAAAGAGATAAGCCATGTTCAAGCATTAGAGGAGAAATTTTCCCGTTTGTGGACTCAGTGTCAGCGTTGTCAGGGAAGTTTACATGAAGATGTTTTGTGCACTAAGTAAGTATTCTGTAATCAATATGCTTGTGCAATGGGTATATGTCAACATATTGATGTTCTTGTGCAATGGGTATATGTACACTCATTGATGTGCTTGTGCAATGAGTATATGTCAACATACTGATGTGCTTGTGCAATGAGTATATGTCAACATATTGATGTGCTTGTGCAATGAGTATATGTCAACATATTGATGTGCTTGTGCAATGAGTATATGTCAACATATTGATGTGCTTGTGCAATGAGTATATGTCAACATATTGATGTGCTTGTGCAATGAGTATATGTCAACATATTATGTGCTTATTCATACAGTATGCATATATAAAGGTGTTGTGATGGCAAGTTCTCTTATTCTGGTCCGCATTATCTTCTTATTCTGGTCCGCATTATCTTCTTATTCTATATCTTGAGGGCCCAAGATCAATGTATTGATCATTCTATTTCATTTTATTTATGGAAGATTTAGAATTATTTATTTCTATGCAACACAAAAAGTTTCTGTGGGTAAAGGTGGCCCATGAATTTGAGTTCTGTAAACTAGATTTTCATTTGTGTAGGTCAGGTTGCCAAGTCTGCGTTTTTCAGTCTCTTTAGTACTTGTTCCAGTGCATATTTATATTCTGTGATAAACTTACAGAAAAACTCGACAGCATGAATCTGACCATCAAGAACACGGTCCCTGCATTGCGCAAAATTCATGGCGTTAAAATTTGAATTGATACAATCCTAAGTCAGTTTGAAAAGTGTTGTTTATTCCTCATAATGAAGAAAGTCTAAAGGGGCAACTCTTCAGTCTTTGAAAATTTAATTTCTTATGAAAAACATCATTGGCTGATTTGTATAGAGTTGAAACCAGTATCCTTGCTTCTGATTTGTTTACAAAGTGGCCACACCAGTATCCTTGCTTCTGATTGGTTTACAAAGTGTCCACACCAGTATCCTTGCTTCTCATTGATTTACAAAGTGGCCATACCAATATTCTTGCTTCTAATGTCGTTTGGGACAGTAAAGCCAAACATGATCATGAACATTTGGCAAGAAAAGATTGCGGCCTCCAATAGAATTATCTTTAGTAACACGGTATAGAATCATTCTACTGCTAATGTCTATAAATCTAGGCCTGCCTGATAAAATAGTTTGTAAGTTCTTTGAATAAAGCATTCAATGCACATTGAATATGGATTTATCTCAGAGAAAATGAAAGCTTGAATTTTGATGGTATACAGTTCAGAAAACACAAAAAAATGACCCCAACTTGCATTCATTTATTGATGATAATTGAATCATGTGCCCAGTCTTTAGAACAAAAGTTATGGCACTCAGTTCGATTGCTGTCCTGAGAACCTTGAACGAGGAGTGCAGTGACAGGTTTTTTCCTGACATGTACATGCAATGGCAGCCAGATTCAAAGGTAGATGAAATGCACATATACAAAATGCACATATTTGATGCACATGGAGACTTTTGTTGGAATCTTATTCTGGATTGTACTGGAAGATCTACTTTAAGAAGTCTAACAAAAGAATTTTTATTTTATTTGTGAAGAATAATAATACAAAATTTCCAGTAAATCTTTTGGTATAAAATAGGCACATTTTCACATAGCATACTTTTCTTTAAATAAGTCATTAAATGCTTCATGCTTAAAAATGACATCAATTTTAAATCTAAAAAATTGAAGCTAAAAGGTGAAAATTAGTACCATTTATTAAATCAGTGGATATAATATGCCTTGAAATAATTCTTAATATATGAGGCGTCCATTATTGGGTGATGGGTGACCGAGCCGTTTAAACTGACACAATCCAAATAGCTGGTGGTCTTGAGTTCAATCCCCACCAAAGCCAGGACAAGCGTAAACACCATCCTAAGCACCCCGGGCGGATGGGACTTGTTAGCCTTGGACGGCAACTGATCTAAGATAAGGTGAACTCTGAATTCAAACCAGGAGCCAGAATGATCAATAAATTTATTGTGGCTTAACAAACATATAAAAAATAATAAAATATTATTTTAGCCATTGTAATCAAGCCAACATAAACTAGGGGGGTTTTAGTATTAAGTGGAGCAGCCGTCCTGTAAAGTTCAGTGAATCTACCTGTATACTTCCTTGTCTATAAACCATTTTTACAAATACAGAAAATAAATCCATTCTTTGAGAATTGTTGGTTATTGTAACTTGGCCATTTTTGTTTTTCAAGTTTTAAACCCGGACATTTGAAATTGTATGGGCGCCATGGTTGTCAAAAACAAAACAATTATTTGTGTTTACACTGAGAAATCTTCTGTCTCTGAGGCATTCTTTTGAAAACCATATTATTGTAATGCCAAGTTGGATGCATTATATATTTTTATGGTTTTATCAGTTATTTATACCTTGATATCAGGTGAACTACACATTTTAATAAAATATTTTATCTTTATTTTGTTGACTTAAAAACTAAAAGGACCAAGGTCAAAAGCCTGTAGTGTATGTGCCAAAAGACAGTAGTGTACTGGTCAAAAGACAGTAGTGTACTGGTCAAAAGGCAGTAGTGTACTGGTCAAAATATAGTAGTTACAGGTGAAAAAACAGTGCACTGGTCAAAAGACATTAGTGTACTGGTCAAAAGATAGTAGTTACTGGTAAAAAAAAGTGTACTGGTCAAAAGACAGAAGTTTACTGGTAAAAAAACAGTAGGAATGGTCCCCTTAGGTTTCTGTGTTCAGTTTGTACTTTGCGCAGACAACTCAGTATTGTACAGTAATCCCAGGGGTGACTTTATTATCATAGAAAAATAAGTTTGTGCACCTCAAAGCAACAAATTCAAACTAATTTATTATATTTTTTTACCATTTTTTTAAATTAACAGTGTGGTATACAGCATCTAATTTAGATTTAATTACTGAATGTGTAATATCAAAGTCAACTAAATATTTTTTTGTATCTTATATCCTACAGTAGAGACTGCCCAATCTTTTATATGAGAAAGAAAATACAGAAAGATCTTTTGGATCAAGACAAGACTTTAGCAAGATTTGGCGATATCTCCTGGTAGTGGTTTTGTTGCCTGATAGAGATTGGTTACACTGGTAGTGGTTGGGTGGCTTGATTGAGTGGTTACCCTGGTAGTGGTTGGGTGGCTTGATAGAGATTGGTTACCCTGGTAGTTGTTGGGTGGCTTGATAGAGATTGGTTACCCTGGTAGTGGTTGGGTGACTTGATAGAGATTGGTTACCCTGGTAGTGGTTGGGTGGCTTGATAGAGATTGGTTACCCTGCTAATGGTTGGGTGGCTTGATAGATATTGGTTACCCTGGTTGTGGTTGGGTGGCTTGATAGAGATTGGTTACCCTGCTAATGGTTGGGTGGCTTGATAGATATTGGTTACCCTGGTAGTGGTTGGGTGGCTTGATAGAGATTTTGTTACCCTTTAGAGGTTGGGTGGCTTGATAGAGATTAGTTACCCTTGTAATGGTTGGGAGGCTTCATAGAGTGTGTTACCCTGGTAGAATTTTGGTGGCTTGATAGAGTGGGTTACCCTGGTAGAATTTTTGTGGCTTGATAGAGTTGGTTACCCTGATAGTGGTTGGGTGGCTTGATTGAGTGGGTTACCCTGGTAGAGGTTTGGTGGCTTGATAGAGTAGTTGGTTACCCTGGTAGAGGTTGGGTGGCTTGATAGAGTTAGTTACCCTGGTAGAATTTGGGTGTCTTGACAGAGTGGGTTACCCTGGTAGTGGTTTGGGTGTCTTGATAGAGTGGGTTCCCCTGGACTTTGCTGGTTTCACTAGTAGAGGTTGGTTCCCCTGGAGTTTGCTGGTTTCACTAGTAGAGGTTGGTTCCCCTGGAGTTTGCTGGTTTCACTAGTAGAAGTTGGTTCCCTTGGACTTTGCTGGTTTCCGGAATCTTTGTTAGTTGTGACACTTAAAGTGTTCAAGTCATCTTGTGTTTTTTCATTGGGAACTTGAAATGTTCTTGTGTTTGTTCATTGTGAACTTGAAATGTTCTTGTGTTTGTTCATTGTGAACTTGAAATGTTCGTGTTTGTTCATTGTGAACTTGAAATGTTCTTGTGTTTGTTCATTGTGAACTTGTTGTGTTTGTTCATTGTGAAATTGAAATGTTCTTGTATTTTTCATTTTTAACTTGAAGTGTTCTTGTGTTTGTTAATTTAGAACTCTAAGTGTTCTGTGTTTGTTCATTGTGAATTTAATGGCTAATTTTAAAAAAAAAAACAACCCTAATATTAATATGTAAAAAAAAAAAAAAAAAAAAGAAAGAGAAAGATCGTTCACCATATAATTTAGTGCGTGTCTTGGGAACGGACAGAATACGCGAGTCTGCGGAGGAGCGAAGTTGTCGAAGGGGTGAATAGACAGAAAGAAGTTCAGTTAGATAGGATGGGCAGGAATCCGAGAAAAAATTGTGACAGAGAAGAGACAGCTTGTAGTCAATGCGTGCCTGTATAGGGAGCCAATGTAGTGAGTGGAGTAGTGGAGTGACGTGATCACGTTTTTTTGCCTTAAGAACAAGCCTAGCAGCAGAGTTTTGAACTTTCTGCAGTTTTTCTATAAAATGTTTCGGTGAACCTGACAGAAGTGAGTTGCAATAGTCAAGACGAGAGAGAACAAGAGCACAGACTAGAGTTTTTGTAGCGCTAACTGTGAGGTAGTGGCGGATGGAGCTGATCTGACGGATGGCGGTGTATGCCGAACGACAAATGTGAGAGATATGTTTATCGAGAGACATGTTGTTAGAAAGAATATAACCAAGATTCCTAGCAGAGGGTGTAAACTGTATGTCGGAGTTACCTACTTGAAATGAGGTGGGAAGAGTTGAGGTAGAGGATGATTTGTGATTGTAAATGAGGAGTGCTTCTGTTTTTTCATCATTAAGCTTCAACTTGTGTTTGTTCATTGTGGACTTGAAATGTTCTGTGTTTGTTCATTGTGAATTTAATGGCTAAATTGTTTATAAAAATTACCCTAATATTAATATGTAAAAAAAAATGTTTTAAGTTTTAAAAAAAACTGAACTGTTGAAAATATGAATTATGAAAGTAAACCAAGCTTTTTTTGTATTGAATTCGAAAGTTATTGACTGATTTGTTGCTGAATTTTTTGAAAATCATATTAAATATGTCTTCACTGACTTAATTTTGTTGTCATGTATGTTGTTGTGGGAATGACACTTTACATGATTATTTTCTTACAAATTGTATTACACTAATTTACACTGAAATAAAGAAGGGGTATCTTTAATTGATGCCTATGCTGGTAGGAACATTGAATTACAATTTAACATTGCAGTCCTTTTGGAAACTTAAATGCTGTCCCTATCTCAGAGACTAACAAACCTTCAAATTCATCAAATAGCCTTCCTGCGGGGCATAAGCCACACTTTGGAATCACTGTTTCTTGATGAATCCTTGTATACATGTGCCACACTTTGAGAATCACTAGTTTATGATGAATCCATGTGGACTTATGCCACACTTTGGGAATCACTGGTTTAGGATGAATCCATGTGGGCAAGTTTGTTTCGGGGAGGGGTGGGTGTGACCTCATTTAATTTACACCAATTCATGAATAGAAGTGGGTGGGGGGAAGGGTATGTCCAAAACTGTAAGGGTGCAACACGTGAGAGGGCATGGTAAAGTTTGGTTTTTGCATGCTTGATTTATGGCTGGTCTCACTCATTGGGGTATTACGGTAAAGGTGTATCAATTTGAGCTACTACAGTAAAGGTGTGTCAATTTGAGCAATGACGATAAATGTATGTCAAGTTGAGCTACTACTACTTCTGTAAAGGTCGGTCAATAAAAGCTATTACTATTACCGTAAAGGTGTGTCAATGGTCAATATGAGCTGTTACTGTAAAAGGTTGACATGTCAAATTTGATGGGACACCTCCATTTCTTAATCACAGAAATAGATCACTGACATTTGATTCATTTATGTAGGACTAGTTATATTACTAGAAAACAAATGTGTGTTTTATTTACAATTACATTTTTTTTTTACAGCTTTGTTGAATATGGTAGCCATCCTTGCTCATTTGGGATGTTATATTAAGAAACCTTCAATTATGTTGCTGTTATTTAAATAGGCACGTGGGAATAGCCGTAGTACTTCAAAACGGCCATTTGACACTCGCAACATTTACTCAAAAGGTGTCAAAATACGAAATTATCCCCTTTTCCGAGAGCACGTGTCGCAGCAAAAGAGAAAGTGTAGTGCACTGCATGACCTCACTGTCATGCACACATCTGGGAGACGGTCCCCATACTCACAACCTGGCAAATAATAAGCCAAAATGGATCACATTACACTTAAGTCTAAGTATCACATTACATTCAAGTATAAGACTAAACACAAGAATCACACACCAACATTTAATACAACGCCTTACAAAGGAATTAGAATTGGAGAGGTTCAAGGGTCTCAATTAAGGATTACAGATTTAAAAATCCGGTAATTCTATTGGTGGGTTTAACCAGCTGCCTTCCTTAGGTCAAAGTCCAACTCAGCGTTTAACAAGCGAATACTTTTTTTTGTTATTTGATGGGTTAGGTAAAAATAAATAATGTAAGTCACTAACCGTTAAAAACATGAAATCAAGTAAGATTTTAGTTTTTTTTTAAAAACAAGAAATTACGCTAAGACTTTGTTATGAAGTGCAATCTTAAAAAAAGAAAACGAAAAAATTTAATATTTTAAAGTTTAGATAAACTCAATAAAGCAGCCTTGTCCAGTTTGTGTTTGTTGTGTGTGGCCTTGGAATCATTGGAGCATATGTTAGTAATGCTGCAGTGTTCAAATAGATTTTTATTACGTTAGATATACTTCGATCTGTTTTGCGTTCTTGTTTTTTTTATTTTTTTTATTTCCCGTGGGGGGGGTAGTGGGGCGGGGAGTGAGTTTACACCCTCCTCCCCCCCCCCACACACACAATGCTTAACCCCTATTTGCTATTCCACTTTTCAAACTGTTTGCACAAAAAAATAAAGAAAGCAGTCTGAAAATCCGTGACGACCAACGCAATGAGCACATTCATAGTTAGGGTTAGGGTTAGGGTTGTAACGACCAATGCAATGAGCACATTCATAGTTAGGGTTAGGGTTAGGGTTGTGACGACCAATGCAATGAGCACATTCATAGTCCCGAACAATCTGGTAGGTTAGGGTTGTGACGACCAATGCAATGAGCACATTCATAGTCCCGAACAATCTGGAAGGTTAGGGTTGTGACGACCAATGCAATGAGCACATTCATAGTCCCGAACAATCTGGAAGGTTAGGGTTGTGACGACCAATGCAATGAGCACATTCATAGTCCCGAACAATCTGGAAGGTTTTTGTGTTTGATACAAGCTTACCTGGTTGACCTCTCCTTTTCTCCGTGCATGAGTGGCAACAGTTGTGTTTAAAGTTGTGTTGTAGCAGATATGCGGGTACAGCCGGACAGCTGAGAAGCAACTCACGCCATTCAACACAGTGTTTATGTTACGACACACACGAGCTGTAAACAAAATACAATTCAATTTGATCTCAGAATCGACTTTTTTAACCGTTAACGTATGACTTGAACGAAGGCCTTGCAATAAGAAGAGCATTTCGGACGGTCAGTGAAAAAGCAACATAGAGTTCAAGATTATCCTGTGAGAAGTGCAGCAGCGACTTTCATTGTAGGATAGGATTGGCCTCACAAGCCATTCCAGGAAGAGACAATAAGCTACGCCATAGGCGGACGGAAGGATACCCTAGGCAGACGGAAGGATGCCCTAAGCAGACGGAAGGATGCCCTAGGCAGACGGAAGGATGCCCTAGGCAGACGGAAGGATGCCCTAGGCAGACGGAAGATTGCCCTAGGCAGACGTAAGGATGTCATATTATTACAGGTAGGCCTGTCATGTGGTCGTGTTAGTGATATTAAAACCTTTACTTATTTATTTTTTTTACGGCAAACCGGTGAATGGGTTTTGACTGCAACTACTGCCAGCCTTCATTGTAAGCAGAAAGAACAACAAAGATCGAGAAATGCGTTAAAAACCGCCAGTTCGCTGTATTTGTGTGTCAGTAAATCGCTGTGTTGTGTGTGTGTGTGGAGGGTGGGTGCATTTCATCATGCCAGTAGTTCGCTGTGTTGTGTGTGTGTGTGGAGGGTGGGGGCATTTCATCATGTCAGTAGTTCGCTGTGTTGTGTGTGTGTGGAGGGTGGGAGGCCTTTCATCCTGCCAGTAGTTCGCTGTGTTGTGTGTGTGTGTATGGAGGGTGGGGGCATTTCATCATGCCAGTAGTTCGCTGTGTTGTGTGTGTGTGGGGGGGGAGGGCGGGGG